ATCATGGCTGCAGACAATGCAACACCGTGTGCCCCCATGGAAGAATGCGCATCTGCCAGATCTGCCTCTGCAATCACTCACGTGAACTGCCTCATGCCTGGGCAGCATTGAAAACTGAAGGCCAGGAACGCCCCCCGCTCCCTGCACTCGGAAGCAAGCAATGGGACCATGAAGACCATGGGCAGAAGAGACCCCGCAGACCCCAGGCAGGCATCAGCCAGAAGGACCTTGTAGGGTGCGTTGCCACAGCTGAACAACAGCCCGAGCACAGGATGGCACCATCGAGCATCCCGAAAAGTCGTAAGCACCTTTTAAGATTTCGAACCTTCAACATGCCTTCGGCAAGCCTTTCAGCCCCCTCGAGTTTGAAAAGACGCTAAAAAAGAAAAAACAAAACTTAAAAAAGCCTAAAAAGCTTAAACAAACTTAAAAAAGCTGAAAAAAGCTTAACAAGCTCAAAAAAGCTTAAAAGCTTCAAAAAGCTTTAAAAAAGCTTCTGAAAGCTTCAAAAAACTTGAAAAAAGCTTCAAAAAACTTAAACAAGCTTAAACAAAGCTTCGAAAAGCTTAAAACGCTTTAAAAAGCTTAAAAAACCTTTAAAAAAGCTTGAAAAGAGCGAAAAAAGGCTTAACAAGCTTAAAAATGCTTAAACCCGCTCAAAAAAACTTTAAAACGAAAGCTTTACAAAAGCTTAAACAAAAGCTTAAAGCAAAGCTTAAACGCAAGCTTAAACAAAACCTTAAACAAAAGCTCAAAAAAGCACAAAAAACTTAACAAAGTTTAAAACAGCTCAAAAAAGCTTCAAAAAGCTTCAAAAAGCTTCAAAAAGCTTCAGAAGAAAGCTTCAGAAAGCTTCAAAAAGCTGAAAAACGCTTAAAGACACTTAAAAGCTTAAGAACGCTTTAAAAAACTTTACAACGCAAAAAAAGCTTAAACAAGCTTTAAAATGAAAATCTTGCAAAAGCTTAAACAAGCTTTACAAAGCTTACAAAAGCTTACAAAAGCTGTAAAAAGCTTTAAAAGCTTTAAAAAGCTTAAAAAAACAAGAGCTTAAACAGCTTAAGAAAACTAACAAAAGCTAACAAAAGCTAACAAAAGCTTTCAAAAGCTTACAAAAGCTTAAACAAAAGCTTAAAAAAGCTTAAACAAAAGCTTAAGCAAAAACTTTAAAAAGGCTTAAAAAAAGCTTTAACAAAGCCTTTAAAAAAGCTTATTCGAAGCTTACAAAAACAGCTTAAAAACTTTAACAAGCAGCTTTAAAAACGCCTTAAACAAAGCTTAACAAAAAGCCTTAAGCAAACTTAAAAAACTTTTTTAAACAAGCTTAATAAAAACAACTTTTAAAGCTTAACGCTTAAAGCTTAAAGCCAAAAGCTTAAAGCTAAAAGCTTAAAGCTCAAAGCTCAAAGCTCAAAGCTCAAAGCTCAAAGCTCAAAGCTCAAAGCTCAAAGCTCAAAGCTCAAAGCTCAAAGCTCAAAGCTCAAAGCTCAAAGCTCAAAGCTCAAAGCTCAAAGCTCAAAGCTCAAAGCTCAAAGCGTAAAGCGTAAAGCGTAAAGCTCAAAGCGTAAAGCGTAAAGCGTAAAGCGTAAAGCGTAAAGCGTAAAGCGTAAAGCGTAAAGCGTAAAGCGTAAAGCGTAAAGCGTAAAGCTTAAAACTTAAAACTTAAAACTTAAGACCTAAACACAAAAACTTGGAACTTAAAACTTAGGACTTAGAACTTTGAACTTGGAAAATCGAACTTAAGACCTAAGACCTAAGACCTAAGACCTAAGACCTAAGACCTAAGACCTAAGACCTAAGACCTAAGACCTAAGACCTAAGACCTAAGACCTAAGACCTAAGACCTAAGACCTAAGACCTAAGACCTAAGACCTAAGACCTAAGACCTAAGACCTAAGACCTAAGACCTAAGACCTAAGACCTAAGACCTAAGACCTAAGACCTAAGACCTAAGACCTAAGACCTAAGACCTAAGACCTAAGACCTAAGGTCTAAGGTCTAAGGTCTAAGGTCTAAGGTCTAAGGTCTAAGGTCTAAGGTCTAAGCCTAAGGCCTAAGACCTAAGGCCTAAGACCCAAGGCCTAAGGCCTAAGGCCTAAGGCCTAAGACCTAAGGCCTAAGGCCTAAGACCTAAGACCTAAGACCTAAGACCTAAGACCTAAGACCTAAGACCTAAGACCTAAGACCTAAGACCTAAGACCTAAGACCTAAGACCTAAGACCTAAGACCTAAGACCTAAGACCTAAGACCGACCTAAGACCCAAGACCCAAGACCTAAGACCCAAGACCCAAGACCCAAGACCCAAGACCCAAGACCCAAGACCCAAGACCCAAGACCCAAGACCCAAGACCCAAGACTCAAGACCCAAGACCCAAGTCCTAAGAGCCAAGACCCAAGACCCAAGACCCAAGACCTGAGACCCAAGACCCAAGACCTAAGACCCAAGACCCAAGACCTAAGACCCAAGACGCAAGACCTAAGACCTAAGACCCAAGACCCAAGACTCAAGACTAAAGACCTAAGACCCAAGACCTAAGACCTAAGTCCCAAGACCTTAGACCTAAGACCTAAGACCCAAGACCTAAGACCCAAGACCCAAGACCCAAGACCCAAGACCTAAGACCTAAGACCCAAGACCTAAGACCCAAGACCCAAGACTCAAGACTCAAGACTCAAGACTCAAGACTCAAGACTCAAGACTTAAGACTTAAGACTTAAGACTTAAGACTTAAGACCTAGAACTTAAAACTTTGCAGCCGAGAGCATTCACACTTGAAGCGCAGGTTCTCGCACTGGTGGCTCAGCTCGGCACTCAGTCGTTTGCAGCGTATTGCTGTAGGCGTGCAGTGCAGACAATGGAGACACGAATGCTCAGGGTTCAGATTTCCGGTTCTAGGTTCAGGCCCGGGTCGGCTGCGGGATGTGTAGTGCCAACATTTTGGGGATTCTGGGCAACATCGAGGCGACGTCACTCATGAAAGACCTGGATGGCAGCCTGTCTCGATATAGAGTTGAGGTTGTGTAGGGTAAAGTCCCCAGAGGTCTCATATGTAGGATGCATGGTAAGGCAGTTGTGCACCTACTGCTTTTGTCTCGGGACAACCTCGTGTTTGCAGGGCTAGGGCGATGCCCATAATTCGCTTGCACAATCAGCGGCTCACTGTGCTCGAATCTTCCTGATTTTCCAGTTCCGGCATGGTGGCCAAGCAGTTACTTAGACGATTCATGTCGGATCGTGAGCTTCCGAGAACGACACCCCCATCTTGCGTCCTCTTGCAGTAGCTTTCGGGCTGAGAATCTGAGTGCGCAGCATGATTTCGGTAACTGGTGAACTAACCAACCAAGGTGGCACGGTAGCAGTTTCAAATCGCATGTGCTTGAGCTCTGGTCCTTCGATCTGCGGACAAGGATGTCAGAAGAGCACGCACCTGTGGGGGCATATTGCATATTCACGAATTTTCTGAATTGTAAGCCGAGCATCTGGTGAGGCGGCGAAGGCTCCCCAAGGTCTTGCAGCGCCAAAAACGCCTTTGATTCAGGGGTTTAGGGTTTAGAACTTAGGGTTTAGGGTTTGGGGTTTAGGGTGTAGGGTTTAGGGTTTAGGGGACCTTCACCGCCTCACAAGGGCGACTTTGCCTCGGATCGTTCTTTGTATTTATCAAGCATGTCCGTTTTTTGAGTTCTTGCAGAGAGCTTCTGAGCTGTTCTGCGTTCAGGGCCGATGGGATTGTAAGCCTGCGTCACGCATGAAGCAGTCGTTTTTGAGTTGAGTTTGAGCTAGGTCGCTGCCACCCGCGGTGCGAAACGACAGTCAGGAACCCGCAGCACGCGTGATAAGCCCCATTCACGAGCCCTTGCGTCTCCGGGAGTGACTACTTGACGAAATCAAGGAGTTCCCCCCCCATACCTTTCTCACCTGTTCCGCTTGGAGCAAAACTGGAGACCGAGACACACTTGTTGCTGTGTGGCCCTGGGCTGAGGCAACCCTAAACCCTAAACCCTAAACCCTAAACCCTAAACCCTAAACCCTAAACCCTAAACCCTAAACCCTAAACCCTAAACCCTAAACCCTAAACCCTAAACCCTAAACCCAAAACCCTAAACCCTAAACCCTAACCCCTAAACCTAAACCCTAAACCCTAAACCCTAAACCCTAAACCCTAAACCCTAAACCCACCCTAACGCCCTAAACCCCCCTAACACCCTGAACCACCAACCCTAAACCTAAAACCCTAAACCTAAACCCTAAACCCTAAACCCTAAACCCTAAAACCCTAACCCCTAAACCCCTAACCCCTACCCCAACCAACTAAACACCTAACCCCCACCCCTAACCCCTAAACCCCTAGCCCCTAAACCCTAACGAAACCCCTAACCCCTAACCCCGAACCCCGAACCCCGACCCCTAACCCCTAAACCCCTAAACCCTAAACCTAAACCCCTAAACCCTAAACCCCAACCCCTAAAAAACCCCTAAACCCCTAAACCCCAACCCCAAAACCCCTAAACCCCTAAACCCCTAAACCCCTAAACCCCTAAACCCCAAAACCCCCCTAAACCCCTAAACCCCTAAACCCCTAACCCTAAACCCCTAAACCCCTAAACCCCTAAACCCCTAAACCCCTAAACCCCTAAACCCCTAAACCCCTAAACCCCTAAAACCCTAAAACCCTAAAACCCTAAAACCCTAAACCCCTAAAACCCTAAAACCCTAAACCCTGAACCCTGTTGTTCCTATGCAAACTTTTATTTTGGCTGGGGGCAGTTCGCTGGTTTGCTACTAAGCTCCCTCGTGAGCAAGGTCAAAACCCAAAGCCCGGAAATCCGCACATCCACGCGAGAAGCTCAAGAAACCAAAGAAACCCAACGAATTCAAGAAACCCGAAAAATGTAAGAAACTCTGGAAGCGCAAGAAAATCAAGAAACACCCAAGAAACCCAACAAACCCAGGAAACCCAACAACCCAAACAGCCCGTAAGACTCTAAGCCCAAGTCTGAGGCGGAGGGGCAGACGGCTCTGCTTGGAGCTGCCAAGAGTGGTTGCTCTTACCAGGCAGGATTTTGCAGTGGTTTACATAGAATTGAAAGATGTCTTAAAGTCTTTCCATCGTCTAGTTTTCGGAATACTGTACGAAGCAAAGTGCAGCAGTAGGATCAGTGAACATAGGCTGACAATTCTGATCAAGACATCAGCCCACGTTTTTTCACGATCACCACCTTCGACGGCGTAGATATCAATGTGCCAGTACACGATGTCCGCACAAGTGCATCACAGGACAAGGAAAGGCACGCTAGTCGTAGTAGTAGTGGTAGCCGTAGTCGTGGTAGTAGTGGTAGTGGCAGTGGTAGTAGTGGCAGTGGTCGTAGTGGCAGTGGTCGTAGTGGTAGTGGAGTGGTAGTGGTGTGGTGGTAGTGGTGGTAGTGGTGGTAGTGGTGGTAGTGGTGGTAGTGGTGGTAGTGGTGGTAGTGGTGGTAGTGGTGGTAGTGGTGGTAGTGGTGGTAGTGGTGGTAGTGGTGGTAGTGGTGGTAGTGGTGGTAGTGGTGGTAGTGGTGGTAGTGGTGGTAGTGGTGGTAGTGGTGGTAGTGGTGGTCGTGGTGGTCGTGGTGGTCGTGGTGGTAGTGGTGGTCGTGGTGGTAGCGGTGGTAGCGGTGGTCGTGGTGGTCGTGGTGGTAGTGGTGGTAGTGGTGGTAGTGGTGGTAGTGGTGGTAGTGGTGGTAGTGGTGGTAGTGGTGGTAGTGGTGGTAGTGGTGGTAGTGATGGTAGTGGTGGTAGTGGTGGTAGTGGTGGTAGTGGTGGTAGTGGTGGTAGTGGTGGTAGTGGTGGTAGTGGTGGTAGGGGTGGTAGTGGTGGTAGTGGTGGGTAGTGGTGGTAGTGGTGGTAGTGGTGGTAGTGGTGGTAGTGGTGGTAGTGGTGGTAGTGGTGGTAGTGGTGGTAGTGGTGGTAGTGGTGGTAGTGGTAGTGGTGGTAGTGGTGGTAGTGGTGGTAGTGGGGTAGTGTGGTGTGGTGGTAGTGGTGGTAGTGGTGTAGTGGTTGTATGTGGTGGTAGTGGTGGTAGTGGTGGTAGTGGTGGTAGTGGTGGTAGTGGTGGTGGTAGTGGTGGTAGTGGTGGTGGTGGTAGTGGTGGTAGTGGTGGTAGTGGTGGTAGTGGTGGTAGTGGTGGTAGTGGTGGTAGTGGTGGTAGGGTCGTGGTGGTAGTGGTGGTAGTGTGGTAGTGGTGGTAGTGGTGGGTAGTGGTGGTATGGTGGGTAGTGGTGGTAGTGGTGTGTCGTGGTTAGTGTGGGGGGTGGTGGTAGTGGTGGTAGGTGGTGGTATGGTGGTAGTGGGCTGTTGGTGGTAGTGTGAGGGTAGTCAGGCGGTGGCGAAGCGAAGTAGAAGTAAAGTAGAAAGAAGAAGTATAGTAGTATAGTAGTAGTAGAAGTAGTAATAGTAGTAGTAGTAGTAGTATGGTAGTAGTAGTATGGTGGTAGTAGTAGTATGGTGGTAGTAGTAGTAGTAGTAGTGGTAGTAGTAGTAGTAGTAGTAGTAATAGTTTTAGTAGTAGTAGTAGTAGTAGTAGTAGTAGTAGTAGTAGTAGTAGTAGTAGTAGTAGTAGTAGTAGTAGTAGTAGTAGTAGTAGTAGTAGTAGTATATAGCAGGAGTAGTAGTAGCAGGAGTAGTAGTAGTAGTAGTAGTAGTAGTAGTAGTAGTAGTAGTAGTAGTAGTAGTAGTAGTAGTAGTAGTAGTAGTAGTAGTAGTAGTAGTAGAAGTAGAAGAAGTAGAAGAAGTAGAATTAGTAGAAGTAGTAGAAGAAGTAGAAGAAGAAGTAGTAGTAGTAGAAGTACTCGTCGTCGTCGTCGTTTGTGGTTGTGGTTGTGGTTGTGGTTGTGGTTGTGGTTGTGGTTGTGGTTGTGGTTGTGGTTGTGGTTGTGGTTGTGGTTGTGGTTGTGGTTGTGGTTGTGGTTGTGGTTGTGGTTGTGGTTGTGGTTGTCGTTGTCGTAGTCGTAGTAGTAGTTGTTGTTGCCTAGTAGCAGTAGTAGAAGTAGTCGAAGTAGAACAAGCAGTAGATGTAGAAGTCGTAGAAGTAGCAGCAGCAGCAGCAGCAGCAGCAGCAGCAGCAGCAGCAGCAGCAGCAGCAGCAGCAGCAGCAGCAGCAGCAGCAGGTGTTGTTGTTGCTGTTGTTGTTGTTGTTGTTGTTGTTGTTGTTGTTGTTGTTGTTGTTGTTGTTGTTGTTGCTGCTGCTGCTGCTGTTGTTGTTGTTGTTGTAGCAGCAGCAGCAGCAGCAGGAGGAGTAGGAGTAGGAGTAGTAGTAGTAGTAGTAGTAGTAGTAGTAGTAGTAGTAGTAGTAGTAGGAGGAAGAGTCGACGCCGTCGTCCTACCAACTACCCGCACAACACGACAACGTGAAACATGTTGCTCTTTGCGCGTTGCTTGTGGTCGTCGTCGGCGCAGCAGTAGCACAGCCCGTGGAAGGTCTTCACCTTGCTACTGGAAGCTCGAGCTTGCCTGGCTCTCAGACGGCTGACTGAGAGGGAAAGGGAGACAGGAAAGTCGAAAGGAGAGAAGAAAGGAGAGAAGAAAGGAGAGAAGAAAGGAGATAAGAAAGAAGAAAAGAAAAACGAAAAAAAAGAAGAGAAGCAAGGAGAGAAGCAAGGAGAGAAGCAATGAGAGAAAAAGGAGAGAAAAAACAGGAGAGATAAAAGGAGAGAAGAAAGGAGAGAAAGAGAAAACGCGAAAGCGAGAAAGCACGCCTGCAACAAGCAACACATTTTCCGGGAGACCATGCCTGGCCATCCAACACATCCACAGTGGATTACGCAAAACTGGGAGGAGCGCGAAGCCGTACTTACAGAGCCAGTGAAGGGGCAGGATAAGTGGGGGCAGAAGGGGGAATTGGGGGAGAAGGAAGGAGAAAGGGGGAGAAGGAAGGAAAAGGAAGGAGAAGGAAGGAGAAGGAAGGAGAAGGAAGGAGAAGGAAGGAGAAGGAAGGAGAAGGAAGGAGAAGGAGGGAGAAGGAAGGAGAAGGAAGGAGAAGGAAGGAGAAGGAAGGAAGAAGGAAGGAAGACGGAAGGAAGAAGGAAGGAAGAAGGAAGGAAGAAGGAAGGAAGAAGGAAGGAAGAAGGAAGGAAGAAGGAAGGAAGAAGGAAGGAAGAAGGAAGGAAGAAGGAAGAAGGAAGGTAGAAGGAACGTAGAAGGAAGGTAGAAGGAAGGTAGAAGGAAGGCAGAAGGAAGGTAGAAGGAAGGTAGAAGGAAGGTAGAAGGAAGGTAGAAGGAAGGTAGAAGGAAGGTAGAAGGACGGTAGGTAGAAGGAAGCTAGAAGGAAGGTAGCAGGAAGGTAGGTTGAAGGAAGCTAGAAGGAAGGTAGCAGGAAGGTAGCAGGAAGGTAGAAGGAAGGAAGAAGGCAGGAAGAAACAAAGACAAAGAAAGCAATAAATACCGAAAAAGACAGAAAGAGAGAGAGAGAGAGAGAGAGAGCACCTGGCCTCAACCTGTTCTTGGAGCAGCCCCGAACACGGGGGCGGGCGATGGCCCCCATGCCCCCAGAAAGAAAGAAAGAGAAGGCGAGGGAGGGCGTGGGGGCGATGGAGCACTGTGCCATATCATCCCGGAGGCCCCGACCAATCCGACCGCAGTGGGCAGACCGCGTTGCAGCTTCTGCAGAAGACGATCTCGTTGGGAAGCTCTGTGGACGAGGCGCTGTGTTGAAAGCCCCGTGCCACGTGAGCTGCCTGTGGGCTAGTGATAAAGTTTGCTGGGATGCTGGATGCAGGGGAAGGGGAACACTCCCCAACTAAAAAATGATTGGCGATTCCGACACCCAGGTTCAAAAACCGTATTATGTGTTGGGCCCCAATGGGCCGCATGGCTCTTTCTTAAACCCCAAGGGCCACCCCAGGAAAGCACAACGCACAGCTGGTTTGTTCATGTTTTTGCTTTTCCCAGGCGAGTAGCCTGACATGGCGTGTTGAGATGCCCGAATAGGGTTTAGGGTTTAGGGTTTAGGGTTTAGGGTTTTAGGGTTTTAGGGGTTTAGGGGTTTAGGGGTTTAGGGTTTTAGGGGTTTAGGGGTTTAGGGGTTTAGGGGTTTAGGGTTTAGGGTTTAGGGTTTAAGGTGTATAGAAGGGAAGCTCGAGACAGAGATGAAAGAAAGATAGATCGATGGATAGATCGATTGATAGGTAGATAGGTAGACATCAGAGAGTTTCACAACATGCGAAGCGCCGCCATGACCCTTCGTGCTTTAAGCTGCGCGCCGCCACGAGAGTCCGCCTTCCTGGCGCTCCTGCACGCAGTTTCCATCACACTCTGCAGCGCCGACGGCACCACGACGACATTGGGCCAAGGAGAGGCTGTAGTTGTAGAGGGGGCCGGGGGCGCCCATCTCAATGGCCTCTACAAGTTGAGCACGCCTCATCCTTCACACACCTGGGTAGATGCCAGCCAGAACTACTATGTGCTCCAGGGCGCAACCTCTGGCACCCAAACAGGCCTCATCGACCTGTACTACAATCAGGACTTTGGTGGCTGGAGGATTGCTGCAGATGGTCACGAGAATTACAATGCGGACTGCCTTTTCTGCACCTGGTCCGTCATGTGGGCTGGGATAGACCCTGCCCCTTCTGTCTCCGCATTCGGCAGCGATCACAGCACCACCGAAGCCATGGCCTCCATGTCTTCGGGGTCCGGAGCCTCACTCAGCATGTTCCTCGCCTCTCTTCTTTGGCTCGCCTAAAGGTGGTGTCCAGAAGAGACACGGCGTGTCAAACCTGAGCTTCGCAGTGGAATGCACGGCAGAAAACTTGTCCTGAGAAGCCGCGTCCTGGGCACTGGTCTTGAGTCCCCCGAAGCCCGAAACTATCCGAAACTGCAGCCTACAATGCCCCAGGATGTCACGGCCTTTCGTTCCAGCCGACTGCCACAAGCAAGCAGCTGTTACTCATTGCTCTAAGGATCCTTCTCTGGCGTTTTTACCAAGGGTGGGGACTTTCTGTTCGGAACCTAAAGGCCTGAACCCCAAACCCTCAGCTGAAACCCCAAACCCCAAACCCAATGCCCTAAATCCTAGTTTAAAACCCCAAGGGTGTGTTCTCAAGTTCCAGTGAGGGCAGGGGCCAAAAGGGCTCACCCGCGAAATTGGCATGAAGACCCGACACGCCGCAGAAGTCTAGGGTTCAGCGGTCCCCAAGTTCTAGGGGTTTAGGGTTCAGGGTTCAGGGTTCAGGGTTCAGGGTTTAGGGTTTAGGGTTTAGGGTTTAGGGTTTAGGGTGCAGGGTTTAAGGTTTAGGCTTTAGGCGTCAACACAACCCGAGCCGGAGCTGGATAGGGGACAATAGGGGCCATAGCGTCATGGACCGCTCTGCAAAGCTTGTATCTGCAAAGCAAGTAGTGATCGGTGCATAGGACAGTGGTCAAATACAGATCCAAGGGTCCCTGTGTGGCAGCACCAGCAACCCACAAAATCACCCGCAGGTCGCCAACGCAGAGCATTGCACCCAGTTGCTGCGACGTCACGGCGCAGAGCAGCGCGCCCGGCCCTTGTCTCGCTTTAAGAACTCGAGGGAATCATGGGATGCTTTGCACGAGCCCTGATCCAACAGGCAGCTTCTGAACCAGATGGGCTTCTCAAGATGATGGCTTCCCTTGAGGCGTTGGTGCAAAGATGTATTTAACCAACGTAGATTGCCTGCGGCAGGATGTATGACGGTTTAAAGCGAGGTCGACCACGCAAAGCTTGCAGCATGTCGAGTCAAGAACTTGCATAAGAGTGCCAAGCAAGTTAGAAGCCTTCAACTCTAGGCCTAACGATCCAGCTCTTCAACCCCCGAAGCCCCGAAGCCCTCTGCAGGAGGGCTTGGCCACGGAAGTCCTGGGCCCACTCTTGGCCTTGCGCGGGACCTCCAGTGCCCTGGGAGGCTTGGGCGAGTCAGCTGTGTCGAAAAGCTTTGGGGTGGTTTGGGGCACCTAAAGGCTAAAAGGATTGGTGCCAGGTGCTTCAGGTAGGTGATCGTGAGTGTAGGCAGGCTGCTCTACATCCTTCATGTATTGACAATTCGCACTCCGTTCTCTTAGATGCAGTCAGAATGAGCACATGTTCAGAAAGGCGGCTCGTGGGCTCGGATGATGTTTTGCTTAAGTTTCTTGGAAAACTTGGTTGTGCTCAAGAGCATCATCTCTGGAAGCAAGATACGAGTAGCCAGCCAAACGTTCAGCATTTTGTCTTAAACCCTAAACCCCAAACCCCAGACCCTAACTCTAAACCCTGAACCTAAACCCCAAACCCTAAAACCCTAAACCCTCTTCTGCGCTTCGCAGGCTTCCGACCGCCTCCTCAGGAAGCCATGGAGGTCACAAGAAGAGATTGCCATAGACTGCACTGCTATGGGGGTTCCGAAAATTTGGGGGTGCCCTTTTGGCGGGCGACTTTTAAAGGGGATTCGATTCTATTTGGGGCTATAAAAGGGGGTAGCCCTATTTTGGGAAATGCAACGTGTACTCGACCGTGTACTCGCTCATGCTGTCCGACATCCAACATACCCCTTTCCTCACGTCCTTCTCTCACGGCAAGGCAGAGTTACAGGGAGTCTGTCTCGTGGGTTTGGTTTATGCCGGGAGCGTTTGATGAGAACTAGTATATACTAGCATGAATACGCTCCGTATGACTCATAAAAACCATGATACCATAGTGAACAACGTGACCAAAGAATCGATCTGCGAACTCATAAAAATGCGTTCAAAGTAAGCTCTGTTGCACCCCGCATAGTCGTGTTCTTCAACCCTATATGTTACTTGTCTTTGACAGATCGGAACAATTCGGAATGAGAAAGGGTAAAAAGCCGGATCATAGGAGAGCCCAAGATTAGGAAATGCTAGTAGATGTACTAGTATTCCCAAGCTTTGCGCTCACCTTGTAGAGGGCAATGTTCCACCCCCTCAAGGTGCAGGGATGCTTAAAAAGGACCATCCTAATCCTAACCCCCCTGCGAATGCAGATTGGTAGGCGATCCCTGTACACTGTAGCGTTCTTATGTTGCAGTAACAGAGGGCCAGGTTATACCGTCCTCTTCGCGCATGTGGGCCGTCATGCAGAGCTTCCGTGGCTAGCACCTACATTCCTAAACGCAGTGGGCATGTTAGGTCGTGCTCTCCCCGTCGTGCTCTCCCCTAGGCTCCACGGCTTTTGGAACTGGTCGTGTACATCGCAGAGAACAAGCTTTCGTTTACTTTTGCATCGCTCCATGTGCCAAATCACGCTCTCGCCTCAGCCCCGTGCCCCTTCCACGGTCCAACTGGTGCTCCTGCCGACGTCCCACGTACATGTTAGCACTTGAATAGCTGAATGTCGCGAAAACGTGGCAGGGCATGTACTTTCCGCCTCTCATGCTTTTGGATGGATGCTCTTCGTGCATCAGTTCAACACGTGCAGAACTGTCGTCGCTTTTGGGCCTGGAGTCGTCCGTCCGGCGCGCGAGCTGCTCGCGTCGAGTCGGAGCACAGTCACTTGCCCTTTGCACATGCTCCTCACATCTCCTCACGAAGTGTTCCGTTGGGTCTACAAGCCTCGCCCGGAGTCGGTGCGTCTGAGCCGACGCTTGTCCTACAAGCGCAGTACGCCGAGGGCGTCCGGAGCGCTGATGCCCGGAAGGTAGACTTCTGCGTAGTGCAAGCAAAATATGCATTGGACATCCGAGGATACATTTTTTGGAGCTCCGTTGGGTCGAATGCGGCTTGTGCAGTACATGTATAGTACAAATCTATCGACTTTTGTGCAAAAATCGTTGTGCGCCGAGAATATTCTGAACTCCGGCGGCTGGAAGGTGGTACAAATGTCACTTGGAGGGGTGGTCTTCGGCAGTTCGGGGTCCACGCCGCGCGAGACAGTGATGTGTTGTCTGTTTCGTAGCTGGGAGTTCCGAAAATAGGGGCAGTCCCTTTCAAGGGGATTCTAGTCTATTTGGGGTATAAAGGGGTACCCCTATTTCAGGAAATGCCCAAGTTTCCCAACCCGAAACCCGAAACCCGAAACCCTAAACCCTAAACCCTAAACCCTAAACCCTAAACCCTAAACCCTAAACCCTAAACCCTAAACCCTAAACCCTAAACCCTAAACCCTAAACCCTAAACCCTAAACCCTAAACCCTGAGTTTCCTGACCCTGACAGACGGCACTGCTGCTCATCCGCTCGCTCCCGATGCCGGCATTGTCGCGGGCCCTCTTCAAGTCCCAGGCTCGGCGGTGACGTTTGGGGATGCTTGTGGTTTAGGGTTTAGGGTTTAGGGTTTAGGGTTTCGGGTTTCGGGTTTAGGGTTTAGGGTTTAGGGTTTAGGGTTTAGGGTTTAGGGTTTAGGGTTTAGGGTGTAGGGTGTAGGGTGTAGGGTGTAGGGTGTAGGGTGTAGGGTGTAGGGTTTAGGGTTTAGGGTTTAGGGTTTAGGGTTTAGTGGGGATGCTTTGGGGGTAGCCATCCTCAGGCCTAGGGAGCAGAGCCGAAGCCAGACATCCAGTGAGAATAAGTTGTCCACCGAATTGCCGAATGCTCGTGGCGACAGGACTCTAACAATGGCGTGGACTTCCTGAATGGTTTTCTGCACCTTGCCTTTGCAGGGAGTTCCAACTTGGGGATCGTTGGGGGCTCGCACTCTGTGGCTTTGCGAATTGTTTCTAAACTCTGCCCATCTCATGCAGTCCTTAGGCTCAGCTGATATTCTGATATGCTGGACTGCTAGACTTACGTTTGCTCAAACCGCTTGGGAGACTCGGTGTGGCACACCTCGCCTGGCCAGGAGTTACCGAGGTCTAAACGCAAAAGCCCAGCAACGATGCAAGCCCGAGAGCCCTTTGACCCACGAAGTGCTCTGGAAGAAGAGTGAAATGTCTGGTCCACCAAAAAATGGTCCAGATGTCCTGAACAAACCCTAAACCCTGAACCCTGAACCCTAAACCCTAAACCCTAAACCCTAAAAGCCCCTAAGCATCGCTTGTTCCCAAGAACCTGGCAGGAGCCGAGCCATCGAGGGTACCTCAGGGGCAACCGCTGCCAGGAGCTGAGCAAGAGGAGTATGGAAAATTGAACCCTAAACTCTAAACCCTAGACCCTAGGACCCTAGACCCTCTGAACCCTTAAGTATGTGTTCTTGACACCTTCCTGGGAAACGGGCAGCACAGAACTTCGGGGTATTCGGAGTTCAAGGCGAACTTCACACGTGCGCAGACTTGCGGAACTTCTAAAGTTTGGATGTAGGTTCTGGCTGTCAGCTGGGAGGGTTTTGGGATGTACGGCCTGGCTGTGATAGCCCATGCTCCTCCATTTTGTTTAGCCACAGGTTGTCCATAAACAACAAGAGATCCCTAAACCCATATGTATTTGCATACCTCCAGGCACTCTACGGCCTGCGCATCGCGAGGGCCCTGAAGGCTGGATAGGGCGGCAAAAGCAGTTAGAAAAGCTACAGGGGGAGAAGGGAACGGGGAAGGGGGGGGGGGGGGAGGGTAGGGGCCGAGCGGGGGAGGAGGGGGGGGGGTAGAGGGAGTAAAGAGGGAGAGGCTTGCCTCACCTACCAGCAAGGTAGAGCAAGAGCCAGTACGTCCTCAGCAGGCAAAAAACAATGTTTTGGAAGGCTATAGGGAGGTGAAGCGGGGAGAGGGGGAGGCGGGGTGCCTGCTTTATGGCATTTGATGGGTTTTGGCTCCCCAAGGCGGATACTTCAGGAGAGGGCTTTGTTTCTGATGGTTCCAGGCGAGAGCTCTCGAAGAGCCGCGACTCCTAACCACGCTCTGTCGCCATGGCGTGCGGGTCTTAGCATCCTTGCGTTCAAGGCAAAGCACGACTGGAGCTGTTGTGAAGAGGGCACGCTTCCTGTGTAGGTACACCGCTGGGCAAAGCGCCTTGTCACCACCAGGGATCCACAACAGGCCGTCACTATCGGTCACCTCAGCACCGCCAGACTAGAATTGGCGCACCCGTTCAAGCGCAGGCTGGGTGCTTTGGTCCAGCGCTGCAGGAGAAAGCCGTCCCAAATGAGGACGTGTTCCTCTGTCACTTTTTTTGTTGCCATGTTGCCACTTGCATTCCACTGCCTGAGCTTTGTCATGGCAGCAGCTGTCCATGCATGGACAGGCACAGAGATGTTGCCGCAGATGTTTTTCCTGTGCTTGAGGATCTCCTGCGTGAAGCCACATCTCTCTGCGAAGAACTGGCAAGCGCGGCCCTAGGTAGGCAATCACAGAGGCCCTAGGTAGGCGTGCTGTCCACTGATCTGCCTCGGACTGTAGTCCTGACATGCGCAAGAAAGCTGAGGCCTTGCATCGGTTGGGCCAATGATGAACCCACGATCTCTTTCAGGAGTGCTTGCGTGAAGTTGCTTCTCCGGACCAGTGAAGTAGTGTGCGCCGCTGAGAATCCGAGAAGGAAGCTCGAGTGTTGATGCTGCAATGTAGGCTGCATGTGTGCTTCTGCGGTCTTCGAAAAAGTCACGATCAAAGTTGCAGGAGTCGTCCGGCTGTTGGACCAAGCTAGCGCCGTTGGCAGCGATGCCCGGGCCATGAAGCAGGCCGCTGTCCTCGCTGCCCTCGCTCATTGCACGTTCACTGCTTCACTGGGGCCCCTTCGAAAACCTGTGTGCAGGCCTTTCAGGCTGTTCGAGACTTGCTGCGCGCGCCTTGGTGGTACGCAATCGAATCATCGAATCAGTCCAGTCGTGGTTCTGCACGCTATGCACGAAGCGGTGCAGGTTCGAAGCTGGTTGCGACAAGTGCACGGCCTTTGAACTGGAATCTTCCAACTTTGCAGGCAGCATGGGGCTGCCTGGAAGAAATATAAGAGAGATGCGCCGAATTCCAAGCAGCAAGATGCTCAGCTTTGGGCAAAACGACACAACTGCCTGCAGGTCGGCTCTTGCGGCTGTTACAAGGCTTGCCCATTGCTTGTGGCCACTGCGCAGATGAGCGAGTGCTCTGAGCGAGTGTGGGTAACCCTAAGCCCTAAGCCCTAAGCCCTAAGCCCTAAGCCCTAAACCCTAATCCTAATCCCTGCTAAGTCAACCGTCACCAAAGCTTAAGGAAGCACGCGCGCAGCTTTCGCAAAAATTCGAACATCCGAAAATCGGTTGGCCGTCCGTTTTCGCGAAAATTCGAAAACTCGAAAATTCAAAAACATCGAAATTTCCGTTTTGTTCGCGTCCGCACCAAGCGCAAATTCGAAGATTCAAGTTTTTCGTTTTTTCGCGTCCGCGCACCAAGCACAAATTCGAGAATTTCGAGATTTTTCGTATTTTTCGCACCCACGCGCCAAGCACAAATGCAAAGTATTCAAGTTTTAGTTTTTTCGCGTCCGCGTGCCAAGCACAAATTCGAAAATTCGAAAGCTTTCGTTGCCAAACATTTTTCGAAAGGATTGAGATTCTTTTGCGTCCGCGCGCCAAGCATGAATTCGAGAATTTTGAAAACAAAAATCGCGTCCACGCGCCAAGCACAAATTCGAAAATTTCGGAAATTTCGTTTTTTTTGGCCAGGGAAAACGCGTACATTTTGGAGCCGCGTTTGGTTGACACATAATCCCTGAACCCTAAACCCTACACTGGCCCTACACCCTAATCCCTGAAACCCTAAACCCTAAACCCTAAACCCTAAACCCTAAACCCTAAACCCTAAACCCTAAACCCTAAACCCTAAGTGCGCGAGGTGGCTCAGCACAGCTCCACAAAGACCGCTGGGGGATCTTTGAAGACATCTTTCAGCTCCGGGAGCCCAAGGCTTCCAAGGCCGGGGCTGATGCCTCTTGTGGGCCGTTTGTGCTTCTTAGGGTTTAGGGTTTAGGGTTTAGGGTTTAGGGCTTAGGGTTTAGGGCTTAGGGCTTAGGGCTTAGGGTTTTAAACTTAGGGGTTAGGGTTTAGGGTGACTGGGCTTAGGTAGGCTAGGGCATGCCGGGAGATCTTGTTGTTTACACCAGCCGGAGCCCCGGTTCAAGGCCTCAAGTCTTAAAGTCCCAGAGCCTACATGTCCCAAGCCCCGAAACCCTGGACTCAGCGTCTGTCTAGGCCATGCAGTGCCTGCTGGAGGTGCCTTCTTTGGGGTCGTATAGGGGGTTTAAGCGGGTTTGGTAAGCCTGTCGGTGCTTCGCTTGGGGATGAGCGGTCGAAGGTTGTAGACGTGCTGAAGCCTCAAAGATGCAAGCTGACAGTCTTGAGGCACCCTGTTGAGTCACCCTGCTCCACGGAGAAGTCTGAGATATCTACCCTTCATGACAGGAGAAATTCCCCACTGAGCCGGGTTGCGTTGGCGTGTTTGCGTGTTCGGGTGCCTTTGTGTTTGTGTGTGTACAACTCCATAAACCCCTCGCATCCGGAAGCTCCAAAATGTTGAACGGTGGAACACTTGAAGGGAACCAGAAGCACTCGTCAAGCACTGGGAGGCGCTGCAATCCATGATCCGCACTGCCGAGTGCGCCTTGCCTTCATCGTCGGAAAGCTTTGGAGTTTGCTGCTGTAGGAACAACTTCTTGACGCTCGAACCTTGTAGATCCTTTGCTTGCACGATGAACCCTTGAACTTATCCCCCTATACCCCAACTCATCAACCCCCCCCCCTCCCCCAATAAACCATGGACACGGAAGACCAGCGGCCCCCCCCATGAGAGGCTTCCCGACCTGGCGGTACAAGCGGGACCGAGGCTTGAAGGCCAGCTGCCTTCGCTGCCTCCAAATAAGGGCTACTTAGGAACATAAGGGCTGCATAGGTAGGTAAGGTATATATGGGGGTTGTATAGGGGAGTCGATTGACAAAGTAGATCGAGCTAGAGAAAGGGGAACGTCCATCGAGCATAGAGTCATGTGTGGGCATGGACCATTTTGGAAGGTCGCGGGCAGAAGGCAAGAAAGCAAAGAGGCAACTTAGGAACAAGACGCAGGTGACTCGCGTGGTTTTGGGGGGCCCACCACATCCCTCTTCAGAGCTGTGGGCTTCCGCTCGGTATCTTCTCTCAGGGAGCTTGGGCTCAGCATGCCCTTTTTTTCTGGGAACAGACAGCTGATAAGAGATCAGGAGGAGAGCCTGCCATTGCGCTTCTGAATCTGCCGCCATCGATATTCCATGCTGTGCTTTTCCGATCGTCACTATCAGGCTGGGTGTGTTGGAATCTTTAAGAATCCGTCGGAGGCATCCTGGACATGCTGATAAATTGCCTGAGCTTTTGAGGCTTGAGCCACCTCTTGTAAACCGAGTGAAACCGTGCTCGGTTCTCTTTCTTGCAGGATCCTTAATAGCCTTTTCATGCCTTTGAACTCTTCGAAGCATGTGGGCTTTTAGCCTTCTGCCCCTAAACCCTAACCCCGAACCCCAAAAAACCTAAACCCTAAACCCTCAGCCCTCAACCCTAAACCCTGAACCCTAAGAAACCTAAACCCTAAACAAAAAAGACCTGGAGACGCAGGCACTCACCGAGCCGGTGCAGTTGCGCCTGGAGCACTGGCATCGCACCTCCAAGGTTCCACCTGGGGCAGGGCTGGGATGGGCAAGGGTTCTTAGGGTTTAGGAGTTCGGGTCTAGGGGTGCTGCGGCTCAGGGGTTTGCCAAAGCCAACTTAGTCAGTTCTCTAAGTTGTGGTGCTTGTTTTTGGTACCCTAAATAAGAGGGGCCGCCTTACGGACTTCAAAGGGGACCCTACTTTACAGAAGCGGGCACCTTTTAAATCCCAGCTCCCATCTCACAGCGCATCTTCAATCTTGAGTTCTAGTCATGGCACTAAACTCACCAAGCTGAACTTGAAAACCGAAGCCAGCAGCCCACCAGCCCACCTCATCAATAAAACCCCAGACCCAAAATCCCGCACTGTCTCATGCGCAGGAGCCTCCACACAGAAGCCGCGAAAGTCGGGACGTGGTGTCAGCCATTGGCTCAGAATCAGACCTTCAAGCCCTTGAATGTTGGGGCTTCGGGTAGTTTCGTTCACCGAGACGATCTTCAACGCAAGCCCGTCACAACACACAAGCCCCGCTATGAGCAGTGCCGTTGAGGTCATGGTGGAGCCCTTGGTTTCGCTGAGCGCCGGGTGCTGAATGCATTCGCAGCCGGCGGGACTTTAGGGGGCTCCCAAGGTGAATACCATGAGCCTCGCATGCAGAGCTTTGGTGCATCTCACCCAGGAGATCCTCCGCTACTTGCTGCGGGTCACTCCCATCGTGAGCGAAGAGTACCTCACGTTCTGCGGCTGCCTCAGCTTTCTTGGGGGGCTACGATGAACATGTATGAACATATTCTTCAAGGGTCCTAAACCCTAAACCCCTAAACCCCTAAACCCCACATGTGTTTGCAAAGTGCAAAGACACTGCTCAGAGGGCAAAAAGATGATGGCTGAGGCCACAGTCTGGTGGGCTGCTCTCTTCGAGATGCCTCGGGCGAGGTGGTGAAGGCCGCTCCCATCATTCTGCACTCTCATTCTTTAGGGTTTAGGGTTTAGGGTCTAGGGTCTAGGGTTTAGGGTTTAGGGTTTAGGGTTTAGGGTTGCACTCTCATCTTCCAGTTCTCCTGGTCTTCGATCTCTTCGCGATGCCGCTGACGGGGTGGCAAGGTGTTGTCGTTCGAGCTTTTGGTCACCGACTGTCCGGTGTCGGCTGCTCAGTTGTATTCTTGCGCGAAAGTCGGCAGTAGCTCCTTCCTCTGCAGGCGCTGCTTGAAATGATACTCACTGCCTAGTGGCTTAGTAGCTGTGGAGAATCAACGATACAGCCAACGGATCTCGAAGAGACTCTTGTCTTCCGGATCCGTCCATGAGTGACGTTTTGTTCACTCTTGACTGCTTGTGATCAGTACACCCATCGCGAAGCTCTGACGTTTCGTGAGCCCTTGCGTGCCCTAAAGGCCAATCCACACAGTGCAATGTGCTGCGGGAGAGAGACAACGCCTACTCCTGGCACTGCGTGCTGGGCTTAGGACCAACGTTTGATCGCTTTGGCGAACTATGTGCTCCACTACTGCAGTGCTTGAACAGAGACCTCAAACTTCTGTAGCAGATGAGTGATCGGCTGAACTGCGAGTTCAGCGCGTTAGATTCGCTTCCAACCTGATCTTTACAAACCATTTCGGTTTAGTCATGGAAAGCTTCAGCCGCATAAACAGGCGACTACGAGTACGCAGCCCGATGCTCAGAGGTTGAGGGGGCCACTGTCGAGTTGGAGTAGGGACGTGTTAAATGGTTAAGGAGTTCAACCGCCAGTGAAGGTACGCCCAACACCCTAATCCCATGCCCCTGTCCGGAGTGGGATTGAAGCTCTTCGGTGCACCGCATGCCCTGTGGTTCAATGCTCTTGCAACTTCACCCAGAACGATGGATCCAACAGCTCACATCACAAACAGCCTTTTTCCATCCGAGACAGGGCTTCAGGGTTTCGGGCCATGGTTAGGGGATCTGTGAGGTTTAGTGAGTTTAGAGTTATGAGTTATGAGTCATGCAGCCATGGGGGGGGGGGGGGGGGGGGTAGTTGGACGAGGTGCAGTAGGAAGTCCATTTCAACATTTCGGAGCGCACAACCACACATCCATGCACATCCCTACTCATCGCCCCAAAGCGGGAGTTTACGAAAAGAAGGGACCCCAGATCCCCAGATAGAAGGGTCCCCTGAAAATAAGGACCCCAATAAGGTACCCAAAATATCGTAAACCCCCAAATCTTCCCAAGAACCTCCCTAGCCCGACTCCGCAACTGACCCTTGGATGATGCTCCCAGGCCTCGGAGGGCCGCCAAGCGCAAGCGGCGCAATTCAAAGCTGCGCCTGGGGGCCTACAGAGTCGTACAGGGGTACCCTCTTGGGGTCACTCTCATTATTATTATCATGATCATAAAAGGGAATCCTGCTATGTAGGGTCTAGTATAGGGGTCCGCTGAGATTTGGGAAGAGTGGGAGGGAGTGGGAGAGTCTGGGACCGCCAGAGTTGATGGGATTGCACCGGTCCCCAGCGGATTTCAGGACAATTTCGGGGGGGGAATTCAGTGTTGCGCATGTTCGCACTTTGAGCGTAGTCTTTAGTGCAGCAACGACTTGAGCTTTGCGCCCAGGCTGTCGGCGCTGCACGCCGTTGGAGGTTCCGACCTTGCCAAGAGGAAAGCTATGCACGAAGTTGCAGCTCGACCCTGATCTCTGACGTGACGCCTGCCGCAAAGCAGGCAGCCACCAGTATGCCAAGCTCCTCGATGAGGTGGACGAGCATTTGCGCACCTTGACTGAGCGAGAATGTCACAAGGCACGGTGGCCATGGCCACAAGACCTACTTTTAAATCACTCTCGACCTCCGCATCCTAAACCCATCGAAGCCCTACATCCTGAATCCTCAACCAGAAAACAGAGCTGATCTCTGATACTTGTAGAGCGTGTCTAAGGAACTGGAAAGACCGAAGCCAGCGAGGAGTCCACAGATCGCAAGGTCCTGGCGCCACAATCTGCTTCAGTCCATGCTTGATAGCTTGCTGTGGCCTTTCAAACCTCGTTCTTGCTGATGTCCACCCCGCCCGAAGCCTGGGAAGGTGCAGAGGAGCAGCCCTGCGCGAGGCACGACGGTTCAAAAATGTTCAAGACGTGAAGCTTGGCCTTTGTGCCCTGAAAGTTCGCATCCAGAGGTGTTTCCATACACACTACATCACATCTGAGTTTTTTAGACTTCGATTTTGTCTGATCCTTGAAGGGCTGGCGCCCGGCCGGCCACGCTTTAGACCACGAACCAACAGTGCGGTGATCGAATTGTCCGCTGGCGCTTGTGCGCGCTCCAACCTGACGGAGCGGCTAAGCCCCGGGACACAGCACACTCGGCACAGTGGATCTATATCCAAAATCTCGGCCGTCTGTCAGGTCTCCTGTTAAGCATCAAAACGAAGGCGGACCCTCCTGACCGGCGCGACCATGGTCAGTTTCTGGATTCAACAGCCAAGAATCAATATAACACATCAAGGAAATTCGGAGGCTCGGGGAAGCAGGCTTTTGGCCCAAAGGCTTTGGCTGCCTCAGAAACCGCTTTCAAATTTTGCATCCGCTGCTCATGTGCCGACTCGCGCGGTAGGCTCGGCGAAGGACATGGTGCCCATTTTCTTCACATCCCTAGACACGAAGCCCCCCTAAACCCCCCAAATCCCCTGAACTCCCTAAACCCCTAAATCCCCCAAACCCCCTAAATCCCTTAATCCCCTAAATCCCCTAAATACCCTAAACCCCCTAAGCCAAGCAACCGTTCCAACCGCGGCTTCGAGCTCCTTCAGGAAGGCGCCCTTGCCTGTCGGACTCGGAGGCCCCTCAGGGTTTAGGGTTTAGGGTTTAGGGTTTAGGGTTTAGGGTTTAGGGTTTAGGGTTTAGGGTTTAGGGTTTAGGGTTTAGGGTTTAGGGTTTAGGGTTTAGGGTTTAGGGTTTAGGGTTTAGGGCTTAGGGTTCCTAAGTTCCTAAACCAACCCTAAACCCTAAACCCTAAACCCTAAACCCTAAACCCTAAACCCTAAAAATCTAGGCAGAGTGTGCTTCGGTTTCGTTGACTTTCGTTGTGCTCGGGGGCTCGGAAGTCAGGAGTAGTTTGAGGCCCAGGGCTTCGTTCTTGTTGGATAGTATTATTGTCTACATGTGGCTTTGTGGCCACATGTAGCCCGTTAAGGCAGCTTAAGGACTGGGGCTACAGTGCCACGATATGAGTCCTCAGCAAAACCCCACTACAGCTATCCTAGCCAAAAGTAAAGGCAACAAGACGCACGACAGAGTTGTGGATGCGCAAGGGATGTCAGGCGTCTGAGTTATGTTCCATCATATACACTGATGGCAGAAGGTTTCTGAAACAACGAACTGAAATTCGTAGGTGCTTTGAACCATTGCAACAAAGATTGTGTGTGTGTGTGTGTCAACAATATTCGTTTGTGCGCATCTTCGTGATTTGACTGAGGACTGTGTGTCGCACGTGTTCATTGCAATGAAGTACCGGTCTATCTTATCACTGGATCCCTCTACAAGCCCCTCGCCCGGGGCATCCAGCCAGGAAGAGGAGGCCGGCACAACCAGCAGCAGCAGTTCAGGCGGCCGCCTTCCGAAAATTGATGCAATTAGTCACAGGCTTCAGGAGATTAGTTTCAGTAGGTTTTATCCCTAAACCCTAAACCCTACACCCTAAACCCCCTTGGGAGTATGGTATGGCAGAGCTGCGACGTGGGCTGCGAGGCGCTGAAGCGCGCCGTCGGGGCAAGAGAGGTGTTGAGGCAAGTGCCGGATGGCATGTGACTTGGGATGTTCCCCCTTTTTCTGACAGTCCGTAATCGGGATTTTTTGGGGTACTTTCATCCCTATTGCAGACTGTTCGTGTCAGGAGGAACATGCCAACATGTGACTGTATTGACTGTGTCGTTTCAAAAGGGAGACGCCCTTGTCTAGAAATTGACGGGCCTGCAGTTGGCACATCTGACACGTAGCTTCCAAGCATCCAGCCAACGCGACCAAACAATTCTGCCAGCCAGTCCAGCTTCTTTGTTTTTGCACCGGGTTCACACCCAGCTCCCCTCCGCACAAGGACCAGAACACAAAGCAGACAGCACATTCTGTCATTCTTGTCCCCCAAGGTGGTTCAAAAAGTCTCCTCTCGTCCTCTCGGTCTCGGCTTCTGTCGTGACTCAAAACCTAGAACCACTGCACAAAATGAACTCTGCACTGCCCTAATTTGGCTTCCACGGGGAAGCGTGGGGTGGGGGGGGGAGGGGGGCAAACTCCTAAGTTGTTATTAATGTCTCTGCAAACATCGTTTTCATTTAGGTTTCAGCGGGTTGCTCAGTACACACCTTGCACTTTGTTTGTTGTCTTAAGAGCGTGACGCGAGCAACCACAAGAACAACAAGGCATGAAAGGAACAAGCAAACGTGGGCAGCATGGGAACTTGATGTGAAGGATCAGCATGACAACGTTTGAAGTTTACAGCCTCCGGCCGAAATGAAAGCACCGGCGCTTCACATTGCAGCTCGAAAAGGGACGATGCGAGGCAAGAACACAGACAGAGACTGAATCACGAACAGAAGCAATACTTCAGCAGCAAGCCTTCTCTATAGGCAAGTAGCTGGTATGATGCAATCCGGCATTGAGGTAATATTAAGAAGTAAACCGCGGGTTCCTTCCGCGTGTCGCAGTAGCATGCGTGTCTGCCTTATGGCCCCCTTGCCTTGAAGTAGTGACGTGTTGTTGCTTAAGGCATTCCAAACGGAGATCATATGTCACATCATGCCGTTAAGCCTCATAACGCTCGCGTGGCCATCAGGCATCTGCCAAGGCAAAGAGCCTTGCTGGCCTTGCAGGCGCGGCGTGTGAGAGTGTCCCCTCCACTGCAGTTTCTCGTTCACCTGCTTGTTTCATTGCTGGCACAGGCGAAGCCTTCAAGCGCGCAGTCTGCACCTTACAGCTTGTCCATTCCAGCTCGAGTACCTTCGATTGAATCGAGCCAACGCAGCCAAAGAGGTGCCATAGTTGACAAAAGGGGGCCCCGGAGAGCCAGAGGGAAGTCCGAGTAGCTCCCTGAGGTTCAGGCCGCTCAGGCCTGCGACGACGCCTTCGATGTGTTGCATGCAGAGCGCCAACGCACGCTCCCCTGCGGTGTTTTTGGAGGGTCTTTGCGGAGGGTCGCGCTTCCTTAGGTTTGCAATGCGTTCTCACGGCAGGGGGATTTAGAACGGGCACAGAGAGCCACCATCTTTTCAGTTCGATCCCGCAAGAGATGGAAGAGCAGCCTGCGCTTGCCAAGCAGCCTACTGCGGATGCCCTCTCAGGCGTGGCTCAGGCAATGCTGTCGCTGAGTGCAGGCCTGGGCAGGGCTTCGTGATCCCGGCAGCCCAAGCGCTTGCCAAGGGTGGCATTGTTTGTATCCCTAGAGTGTCCGTTATTCGGGTACTTTGGGGAGAATTCAGGGTGTGGTACTGTTTGCATTCTGAGAGTGTTCCATATTCGGGAACTTTGGGTTAACTCTTGGCTTGTGGGCATCTGAACCATGTAAGCCCTAAACCCCAAACCCCAAACCCTAAACCCTAAAACCTAATGCCAAGCCAGGAGAGGCTGCGGGGATGTCCAGCGTGGACCCCTCCTTCCGCGTGCGGGGCTCGACGTGCGGTCGGGTCTAGCCAGTGAGTCCTTACAGGTTGCGCACATGCATCAAAGCATGTAGTACATGTAGTACCTCACTTTACTCATTACGCTTGTTGACATTTTACTATGTTGATTACATCTTGTTACATTGCATGTTGTGTGTGTGCGCTTGTTGTATTAGTATTAAGCTTAGGCACGGACCTTGGAATGTGCTGACAGTACAGCAGTAGCATGGCTGAGGCAGAGGAGCCCGGCCCTGCTATCATGCAGCCCCAAGCTCGCGCTCAGGTTCATTCTGTGACGCTGGCGGTTCCCGAGGAGATCCCCTTGGACGTGTTTTGGCCAATGGTCCAGGAGGACCTTTGGTGGACTTTTTTTTGAGGTTCAAGTACCATAAGACACAAAGACTTGGCTGCGCTTGTCACGCTACCCAACAACTCGTGTCTACGTCGCCCATGTGACGTGTTCTGGCCTGGCGATCCATCTCTGCCAAGACTGAACCCTAAAGCCTCAAGCCTAAACCCTAGACCCTAAAGCCTAAACGCTAAACCCTAAACCCTAAACCCCCTTGAGTTGCCGATGCAGGACATCATGGGCGCCGTGCAGGACTCCCGCCTCAGCTGGCTCGGTGTGTTGCGACCCTCACCAGGTTGTGCCAGAGAAAGATTACAACATTGCTATGTCCTTAAGAATACATACATACATACATCAAAATAAATACATAAATGAATCATTAAGTATATGTATATGTATATATATATATATATATATACATATACCCCAAAATAGTAGTACTGCCATGGGTTCTGAACGCCGCAGGAATTCTACCCTCGAGGTGTGCCACCCCAGGCCTGGGAAGCAGATCGAGCCAGCAGCCTGCCACCTCCGCCCTACAACCGATCTCGCAGATCCTAAGATCCTTAGGGTTCAGGGTTCAAGGTTTAGGGTTTAGGGTTTAGGGTATAGGGTTTAGGGTATAGGGTTTAGGGTATAGGGTTTAGGGTGTACGTCATCACCTGCTGCACAACCGCCAGTCTTTTGGGCTCCTGAACGCGAACAGAAGCTAGAACACATGGGAACGTCAAGCTTGGAGAAAGCTAGCCGCTCGCTGGAAATCTCACATCACATCAAAGCTGACCAACAGGCCCAGACGCCAAAACTCTTTAGGCCCGCGCGACCCAACCATCACAGCCTGGTGCCCAAGCAAAGATTGTGATGTAGCCGCTGAAATGCCGCTGAACGCAATTTGGGCCTACACAACTTTCGTGACTGAAGATACGCTGCCCTGGCCAGTGCAGCTTCGGCTTCGATAGGTCCTGCCAGTACTGATGAGGGTTGCCAGGAATTCCGGTTCATTCTCGGAGAATGCTCTGAGGCGTCGCCTTTCTTTGGCAAAGCATCCTTTCTGTTCAATGAGCTGAGGATTGCGCTCGGCGTGGTGACCCTTATCAACTTTCTTGTGACCGTTGCATTCTGTGTTCGCTACTTGGTGTGCTCTATGTACTACCCTGCGCTCCCAGTTCCATGCTTCCCCCAGTCCCATTTCAAGAGTCCTGAAGCCAGCTGCAGTTCCCCAACCGCCCCCTACAAGTCCGAAACTCCAAGTAAAGCTCCCAGAAACCTTCAACCCTACACCCTCAGCCCTCTCCATGCCGAGGGTGGGGATGCTTAGATGCGCGCCGCAGCAAGGAGCTGTGCGTTCAGGCCCCACGCCCCTCGCAGCGTTTGGATGTTAGCTCCTCCGCAATGCGCCTCTCGAACCCTTGCCAGGACAAGAGGCCAGCGGTCCCCTACTCGGTCGAGCTGGTTCGAGGGATCGTCTTCATCCCAGCAGGCATCTCGTCGGTTGCCTTTGCGGCCTGGCTGCGAGCAGTGGCAGAACTCGAAGAGCGTTGGCTGTAGAAGTGACGGCGTAATGATAGCTTGATGGTCAGGTAGTGGTGTTCCGGCCGGCCATGGCCTATACCCTTGAGCTTTGCATGGCGATCCTCTCGTGCGTAGTGGTGGGAAACATGACCAGATACTTCTTGGAGATTCTGGGGGAGCCCCCACTTCCTGCGGAGTTGCTGCGAAGGGTGACTTGGTCGGAATGGAGATGAATTGCGCCAGTGAGCACACAAGTCGCCTGAGTGATCTGAAGCTGAGGTCCCCAAGCGACGCTGGTGGTGCGGGTCCTTGTGCGGAGGGGTTAACGACACGCTCCCTGGTATGGGTTTGACATGGAGTAAGACGCCGCACAGAGTCACCATGAAAGATGTTCACCGGGCAACCTGCATGGTGCGCATCTTCATGGTCGTCTTTATCTGTGTCAACAGCATCTTAGTAGCCCAGTGGTACCCTTTACCCTTTTTTGGTTATGGGTTCCCTTATCAAGTAACCAACCCAAAAAAAGAGTGCCCTTATTATAATACGAATTACTGGGCTACCAAGGCATGCAGCTGTCCCTCAGCATGTGGCCGGGGTCCGTCGAGATGGATGCGAATGGATGGTGCGTGTCCCAATCGCCAGTGACCACAGGATGGCTCAACGGGATCCTCATCTCTATATCCCCCCCTCTCTCTCTCTCTCTCTCTCTCTCTCTCTCTCTCTCTCTGTCTGTCTCTATGTATATGTATAGACATACCCTTTAAGGGATTAAGTAGGGAACCTTGTTCCCCCACTCCCTACAAGCAACAGTAAGGATCCTCATCTTCCTCTCGGTCTACGCCTCATTCATCGGCATGGCCGGCTTCGGTGTGGTCTCCGGTTCCATCAGCTCCGTCCTGGACGTGCAGCTGCGGAAGGACGGCGACGAAGCGGAGGACACGCTGATACGCTTCTTCCGCGTGGCGTCGCAGTCCAAGACGGTGGCGGTCTACATGCTCCTGCCACTACTTCTGCCAATCCTTACCTGCATTCCCATGGGTTCCAAGGAGGTGGTCCTGCCCGTGCATGGCATTCAGCTCGTTGGTCCTCAGATGCGGGTTGACGAAGAGACACTCCTGTGTCCAGTGTATGATCGAGAAGTTTGCGCGCACACCCTTTACTCAATGTTTGTCTCATTCGGGATGACTTTCGTATCAATCAGAAACTATCGCATATTCCGACCCGGAGACATCTCAAATGAAAGGCTTTTGGAAGTCCTGGCGAGGTTGAACCCCGTCGAGGAGACTCCGCATTCCAGCGGAGAGTCAGATGAGACGTCGGAGTCCGCACGAGAATGAATGCCAGCACCCATAATTATTGCTTTTGTTCCCCGCAGCCCGTGTAATAGCTATGCTCCTCATCGCTGCTCAGTGAGTCCATCGGTCTATGAGCGGAGGCAGCGGGGTATGGACGCAAGTTCATGTAATCAAGTTTTTGCAATCCTGCACAGTGTCTGGATTCGGTGCGTATCAACGTTGTCCAGTTGTCGTTCCAGACTTTCGTTTCCGAATGCTTGTTCACAACAAAGAAGCTGTCTGAAGGCGGCCTGACTGTAGATAGCATCAGCGTGCTCCTGCACTGGCAGAAGAAAAACTTGTAAACCTGAAGCCTATGCCTGGAACATCCTGAACTTCACCTGCGCTACAAGGGCATAAGCCTTGCGGCACAATTCAGGCTCGAACCCTTGAGCCAGGCAAAGAGTCTGCCTGATAGAGAGCTCTTGATTCCCAGCTGCCTCTGACCGAAACTCCCCGAAGCAAGTAGTGGCGTTTGACCCTGAAAACGAAAGCCTGTCCCCAAACAAACAAAGAAACATAACGAGGCTTAAAGCTAACCCTGGAAAACACCTAACTTGCCGAAACCTTATCTGGTCTGCCATGAGCTGCCGGCAATGTTGCAATACGGGGTGCCGCTACCACGGCGTCTTGCTCGCCTTGAGAGGGTTTTGAGGTTTGTACTGGTGAGGGTTCGGATGCAGGGATCATCTAAAGTGCCGTCTGACTGCAACTCGAAGCTGCTGTAGTTTCAAAATGTAGTCGACACTGACACGTACTCGTAGCCGATTCGTAGCACTTTGTCAGGGCAGGGGACCTTCGCAACGCCTTTCTCAAGGCGAGAGGAACACCTGAGATTTCGTGAAGACCCCCCCACCCTGTTGATGGATCAGCTTAGGCCGCCATGGACAACGCAGCTGCATGGGCTGCCAGGACACATTGCTGGGCGTGCAGGGGAACCCTTGACATGGGTACTGCAAGCCAAGCTGACAAGCCTGTTCGGGCTCCTGGCTCACAGCATTCTTTGCAGCGTAAGGTTTGGCGGTAGGCCCGCAGCAACTTGCTGCGGAGCTTGTCATGTAGCAGATACCAGGCTTCCTGCGCAACGTGTAAGCAAGATGCCTTCTTGCCATGCAAGGCACTAATAATCTCTTTCGGGAGCTTACGCACACTCGCGGAGGCCTCTTAAAGTTTAAAGCTGAGAGGCTGCAACTGCCCCGAAAGGATGTGGAGGGCCAGTCGATCTCTCGATTGCATTGTGCTCCCAACCTCGGTTTGACAAAGGGTCGGCGGTTGTCGGCATAACTCGGCTTGAGCACATCGAAACGCACGAGAAAGAGCCGATCAAAAGTATTCCCGGATTCCCAGCGTATGATGGCGGCCCTTGTGAGCCCTATTCAAAAGAACCAACCACTCTTTCAAGCTGAGCACAGGCGATCTTCTGCTGTAGTGTGCTCGCCTCATGGCCTAGCTTGGTCCATCGCTAATCGCACAGATGCTGAGGAGCAAATCCGAAGACCGAAATGACCGAAGGTTTCAGCCGTACTGCACAAGCAGGCAATGAAAAGCTTTCTTATCCACGGTATTTTCATCAGTTCACCAGTCTTGCACTCAACTGCCGCCTTGAAGGTGCAACTTCTAGGTTGCATCTCATGCCCACCAAACGCCACTTCTGAGTTGGGCATTTGCACAGGCGAGCTCCATTGGAGATCTCGTGAGAAGTGCTTGTTCACCAGGTTGCATTCTTGAAATGGAACCTCCGCATCACTCGGGGCTTTGAGGCTTGCCTCCCCCACCCACCTTCTGGCTCGATATATCGAGCCAACGGCTTTCAGGGAAGCCGCTACGATAAGCGTCTTGTTTGGGGAGGGAGCCAGGTAGGTCGTTATGTGCAGTGTTTTGTTCTTTCCTCTCACATGCTCCAAGCATGAGTTGACGCCAAATGCGGTCTGCCAGGAAGCTGCGCTGGCCCCCTGCTCAGCTTTACAGGAGTGCAAACGTTTTGTCTCGACGTTTCGAGGCGTCCTCTTGCATGTTGATGCAGTCCGGAGTGACTTCGCAGTGCCTGTCATTTCAAGCCAGCTGCCATCACAAGGTGGCCATTGCCAAGGGAAGACCGCCGGCCTGTGCACAGTGCGGCCGACGAGATCCGTCGGGAAGGGTGGACGAACGGCAGACGAGGCAATTCTACTGCTCCGGGTGTTGGGCTGCCTACGAATCAGACCCTGGGCAAAAACGCAAGCCGCGCAGCCACTGCAATAGAGACACAACACTTGGCTTGGTTGATATTAGTCTGAAACAAGGCCGACATGTCAGGCACCTTTTTTTCAATGTGCCTTGGCCTCAGGACCGCTTGACGGAATATTTCGACATGAAATCGGAGCTGGAGGCAAAGACTGAGAAGCTGGCCCAGATGGTTTCCAAAGCTCGACACCTGATTGCGTTTACAGGTGCGCCTCCTGCCCGGGACAGAAGGTTACAGAAGGTTACAGATTGCTTCAGCACATGCTCCTGCACAGCGGGGGGCTCTAATCCCATGACGCCGGGGCAGGAGCCGGCGTGTCCACCGGCGCCGGCATAGCCGATTTCCGAAGCGGTCCATCCACCTATGTTGGCTTGCCTTACCATGACGCATACAAGCGTCCATGCTGTCGCGTAGCCATAGCATGGTAACAGACTTAGCTCTTGTAGAAGTTTTGTTCGATGTGCTTGACCTGCAAGGTACGAATACCCGTCTGCCAACGGGGCCTGGATTGTGGGAAAGACCCAAGAGCCAGACCCCTTCGAACATCCTGGAGCAGCGCTGAGCTTAAAGCCCCAGCAAACCGACTTGCATGTTCACGCTCCGATGGCAAGTAACGAATCTCACAAATGTGATGGCTCTGTGCAGTGGCAGTGGAGACCCATGTCAAGTTGGTGATAAAACCCAGAAGCTGGTTGCAGGTGCGTGCAAGCCAGACCTGGTCGAACTCATGGTATCCTTTTCCGTTTCTGGCAGGCAGTGAATCTGCGTGCAGTCAGCCAGTTCCTGTGTGCGCGCTCGCATGAGTCATGCGAAGGCAGGAGTTCTGAAACACATCATCTCGCAGAATGTGGCCTGCTGCAAGTTGCAAATTGCATTGTGGACATAGCAGTGGCAGAACGATCTTATGATTCTCGGTTGAGGTTGATGGTTTGCACCGGAAATCGGGAATGCCTGCATCTGCTTTAAGTGAGCTGCACGGGAACATCTTCGTGGAGAGGCTGGGAACATGCAAATCAGGGTACCCTCGCCTCGAACTCTTCCACCTTGACTTCATTCTTCCATCTGCTTTGAACACATTTATCGCTGTACGCTGCTGCGTTAGGTGTGTTAGCTGCGGACGCGAGTACGAGCGTGTCTGCTAGCTGCAGCTATCAGCCACACAAGCGGATGGCAGTGTGATCCGCCAGAAAGAAGGTTCCTAGGTCCTAGGCTGTTTCCTAAACATCCCTGGCATGGTCCACAGCTCGAGCTAAGCTAAGGATTTCAACACCATCTGCAGAGGGGGCTTCACCGGTCGAGAGTGCGACGAGCAAGGTTGCGGAGGGCAGCTGCGCCACAGCGGCGTCTCCCGGCTGCCACATGCCACGCACTGCCTGCGGGACTTTCCCGAGGCTTGCTTCAGATGTTCCAAAGAAGTTATCAGACTAAGAAGCCGACTATGAGTCAGACTATTGCAGGAATCAGGGATGGTCTTTTTGCAAACAAAGGTGGGCTTCGGCGATGACCTGCCCCAGAAGGTGATTGAACGGGCATGGGCAGAGGTCGAAGCCGCAGACCTTTGCTTGGCGCTGGGCAGCTCCATCACCGCTTCTCAGCTCAAGGATTATTGAGGGTTTAGGGTTTTGGGGTTTTGGGGTTTGGGGTTTGGGGTTTGGGGTTTAGGGTTTAGGGTTTATTCTTGGGAACCAGCAGAATCGCTCTTCTTGCTTGAGTACACGGTCATATAAGTTTGCGCTAGCCAGTAAAATTCCATCCTCTTCTTTGCAGATTCTGTAGTTTGCAGGTGACCCCCGCATCAGAAATGCCAGCCTATGTTGCGCGGCGCAATTCGCGAAGGCCAGGCCCTCTGCAAAAGACGGCTAAGCTGCTGCGTGTTGCCTGCTTGCAAAAAAAGAGACGCTGGTCACCCTTCGAATACAGGTGTGATGCTGGTTTGGTGATTGTGAACCTGCAGGCTGGCAACATGCAAGACGCACATGTTGTTGTACAGGTTATTATAGCGAGAGCATGTACTCGGCAACATTGCTATCGCTCGGGTGCAGGCAACACCCTGTGACGATATCGCAGCTCTCCGCATCAACGGAATGGTTGATGATGCCAGTACCCTAAACCATGCTCAACACCTTGCAGAATCTCTTGTGCAACAGGCTGGTACAGTAATGTATCGAGGCTGCACCTTCTTTGTCCTGCGTGTAAGGTCATGGGGCTACTGGCGACTTGGTGGCAAAGAACTAGCCCAAGCTCCCCAAACGACTGCCTTCTCTGTAAGGAAGCACAGTTGCTGCGCAGAGGGATTCTTCGCCCTACCTGCTGCAACTCCAGTGAGCTTGCTGGTGCCTAGTAGAGGAGGACAGCCCTCCAAAACTGAAGGCCTAAACGGTCTCAACGTCGAGCAGCGAGCTTGACAACAGAAATCAGCTGCATCCGTTCCATCTTCCCAGCACGGATGTTTCGCCTGTTGCGGCTCTGCCAGCCCAGCAGCATTCGTGCCAAGCTTTTCAAGCGCCCAAAGATGAGGCGCTTCCGGTTTTCGCTATGGGAAGGCGTTGTCCCTGCCGCATAAAAATGAGCTACTTCCGTCATCTGACACGGTTCTCAGATATCCTCGGGATGAAAATTCCTCCGAGCTCGGGGACTGCTGCACTATGCCTGTACTGTTTTGACACTCAGAAGAGTCGTTCGCCGCCTTTTTAAGCCTTCCCTGCATGCTGTTTGTGTCTTTTGAGGGCGGGGTGGCACTTGTCAGGTCCAAGAAGTCTTGCAGACGGGAACTCCCAAAGATGGGGCGATCCACGTGGCGCAACGCACGGCCCCTAGCCATCCGATGCTCGGATGAGGGTTGTGTCTTTGGTTTTTGTAAAAACAACACCTGACATGATGTGAAAGTGCCTAAGCCTAAATCATAGTGCAGGCCTCACGCTCGAGGAGGCCGAGATGCTTGCAGCACGCACGCAGCTCAGAGCGCACCTGTGCTCTGAGCATGAGTCCTAGTCAGACTTCTAAACAAGGTCTGGCACACCTGTCCCAGACAGCTGTCGCTGTGGACTTGGGCGCCTCGCTTGCACGATGCATGCTGACTAACAAAATGCTCTTGCGGGTCGCCTGCACACTGTTTCTTCCTCGCAGCCGCAACAGCACGCGGCCTTGCCATCATCGCATGTTCGGACACAGCTTGAGGGCTCCATGGGTCCGTGTGGACTTGCGGGCTCTTACAACATCACGTTGAAACATTGAAACGTTGTAGCATCGAGACGTTCCCTTCTTCGAACTCCCGTACCCGAGGTGCCGTGCAAGAGCTGAAGCGGCTACGGCGGCAGTCCGGCGAATCTGAGGACCTCACAAGCTCTGGAAGCCTGACCGTAACTTGAGTTGTCCGCCTTCGTTGGAGGACTCCCGCGATGTACGCTGGGCCCAGTTCACTCCGAGACAAGGACGTCAGGCAGGTGGCGGTCGGCTAAGCCGTATCCGCAGGATCATCAGGTTTTTGTTTAGCGTTGGGGCTTGTGCTCGCAAGGATCTTACAGTGTTGTGAGATATTTAACATAGAATATAGAATATATAATAAATAAACATATAATATACAATATACAAAAAAGTATATATTATAGTGACCAGGCTGCACCGCCCACAGCACCTGCTGTGGCTGCACGAGTGCGCTTGCGCTCATCACCTGATGGCTCCGATTGGATCTCCGGAACCTGAGACTGCAGATTTTTAGGGTTTAGGGTTTAGGGCTTAGGGTTTCGGGTTTAGGGTTTAGGGTTTAGGGTATATTTCTTGGGAGCAGTGCAGGTGACGGTAGCGCCAACAGACTTGCCACAGTAGCTTTTGACGATTTGACGGTCTCGGTCCCCATGTTCACCTGCAGCGTTGCAGCAGTGTGAAGTCAATCTATTCTTATTCTTTTTTTTATTATTTTAATTGTTGTTGTTAGTATTGTTGTTAGTATTATAATCATACTTGAAAGAAGCAGCGTCAGCTGAGGAGTGGTGGCGTCTTGGATGCAAACAGAACATGTCCTCGAAGCACACGTTGCAGCGCACAACCGTTGCTTCATATTGCTTCAAAAAATCGGTCATGTGTTCCACAATGGCAACTGCCTTTCTTTTTCTCAAACATTTCAGGGACTTGCATGGAAACATCTGAAAAGGCTAGATTCATAGATGTCCAGTTAGCTCCACGATAATGATGATAAACCTCTGTGTTTACCGCATACATTCTGAGGTGGGGCACGGTCCCCCCAACGCGCCGTGGCGATGCAGCAGCGGCAGCCATCGACCCAGATCTTGAGGCTTGCAAGATCACTTAAACGTAACTCCCTTAAATGTTGTCTGTAAGGACAGTCCTCTGTGGAAGCACTTCTCGACATAGTGGACGACCAGGCCTGTGATGCAGGAGCGTAACGACGGCTGTGACAATGCGACCTCAGCGCGTGTGGGCGCAGGGGCTTTTGTGGGAACAGCTCCCGCCAACGCAAGTAAAGCTTCCGGCGGTGCAGAAGAGCAGTGGAGGCGAGCTGCTTCGAGCTTTCCGAAGCCAGACCACCTTCTGACTGGCCAGAGAACTTCTCTTGCTCACCCTGAGGCACAACTAGCATTCCTCATGGAGTGGAGCCTTGGGCCACATACTGCACCACAAGAATAAAGGGATCTTAACCGATTGGACACTCAGTGCATCTACACTAAGGAGAACCGCCCATTTCTGGAGACTCGCCGTCTGCCTCCACCTCCACCAGTGGCACGCGAAGCAGCTCCAGCCGCCACCACAGTGCGCTGATGAATTGTTTTCCAGCTGCAGCTGTCTTCTGACGCCATGAGATCTCGCGGTAAAGGCCCAGCGCCGAGAATCGCGGGAGGAAGTGCCCTTCCTTCAGCCCCTGGAGTTGCCACAGCCCCCGCCACCGCCCCTGCAGTCTGCGGCCTGGACCTGACCCACCAAAAAAGAGTTCGGCATGTGGCGAAGCCAAGAGAAACTTTCACCTGGCACATAGGAGCACTCAGGCCTTTCATTCCTGTTGCGAGTGCGCCGGTTGACGAGGCCCTGCCTGCAGACTAAGGATTTAGGGTTCAGGGCTTAGGGAAATCTTGATGAATGTTTCTGTGCAGGTCATGGTGCAGCAGCCTGAGCACGAGGACTCTCCAGACCCTCGGTTTGGCACATTAAGTCACTGGGCCATTCATGTTCATAGCCGGAGTTCTGTGCACAGACCAGGGACCCTGCAACTCAAAATTTCTGGGAGATCCATCAAAAGGTAGGTCAGGGCTTATGCTGCTTCTTGCAGGAGCCGCCCACGCCAGTGCTCGCCGTACAGGAGCGTTGGATCATGTTGGATTCGATTGATTCGAGTGCGAACCTTTGACCTGGAAGCCGAAGGAACCAGAAATGCAAATCGAGGAGGAGACTCCGAGGCATAGCAGGCATCGCAGACGAAGCAGGCTGGAGTGGAGCAGACTTGATCGTGTTGGCCCTTTTCGCAGCCTTGCGAAGATGCCCCTAGCAGCTGTGCTTTCAGGAGCCGAAGCGGCAGCAGGAGCTCACCTAGCTCACTTAAGAGACCGGTCCGCGCGTGCTTTGCGAGCACGCTTAGCATCAAACAGCTACTTCTACTGTACACAGCTATGGGACATTGCGGAGTCACCGCCTTGGAGCGTTGAGACCTAGGGACGTGTTCGTACTGGGTGTGAGGAACAGTATCAGCTTGACGACCCCTGGAGCTGAGTCTGCTGACCGCCGACAGCAGAGCAGAATTGCTAGGAGCCGAAGTCGATCCCGCACGTCGCGCACCCGAAGCCGCAAGGCACTACTGAAAGCTGTCTTCGAAGATCTTCCGGGGTCCTCGAGCAGGTTTTGTCAAGGGTGCGGTCGGGAAAAGCTCTCAAGCTGCAAGCTGGAGTGAAGCAGTCGTATGGTTCTTTTCTATCATTATCATCATTATCATTCTTATCATCATTGTGATTATCAGACTATATATCATGTTGTAGTATACATTAACGCAAGCAGCGAAGCAACCGGGAAAGCAGGTTCATGTTGGGTGTCTTTGCACCACGGTGTTCTTAAGGGCGGGTTTGCCAACAAAGGTTCACAGTGAGCGATGAGTTCATGAACTCATCTCACAAACTCACCTTGACTCTTGCAAGAATTCGGCTGCCCTACCCAAAACCGGCACCTAAATTTAAATTCCCTTCGGCGGGGCGTGGAGGCATCAGAGAACGTTGCGCACCGCAGGCTGGCTGCATCTAGGCAGAACCGAACCACAAGCCGTTGCGCAACAGCCTTTATCGCAAACTCGTCTGGAGACACCCGAAACACAACAGGGTAGATTCCAATAATCCTCTAAAGCCCGAAATGCAACATGTCAACATGCAAGAGCTCGGACTTTTGCAAGTAGCTTGCCAGCTTGCCTCCGGTTGAGAGCCTCTTGAGAGTTCCCGAACCCTTTGGCCCGGCGCACAGCTACGTAAACACATTCGACACATGCTTCCCTTCCTGGGTTGCTCTTTGGCCCAACTGGGCAACTCTGAAAAAAACTCTGCGGGCAGGTTCGAGTCCAGTAGTGAGGCTTCGGGGCCGTCGCACGAGGAAGGCGCACGCTGCGGGGCCGAGGGGTGAAGGATTTTCGCAGTTGGAACAAAGGGGGCTGTTGCAAAAGCTTGGACTAGGGATGCGCGGAGGCTCAGGGCAAAGGTGCTTAGGGTTTTGACGTTGGCCGGCATGGTGCAGAGCGGGTGCTGAAGAGTGCTTAGATGACTTAGATCCCATGTGCTTGCCATCAAGGATGCTGTCAGCGTGGGCTTGGAATCCCCACCCTGAATGTTCAAATTTCTTGGCGAAGCATGACTTGATGGTGCAAGGTCACAGCCGTGGAAGACGGGCGGCAGACTCTGTGGATTTCGACAAGGCTTCAAGTTTTGAGTCGTGACTCTGTCTTTATTGCTGTTTTGTGCGATTCTTTTCGGGGGTTTTAGGGCTTCGATCAGCGCCCGGCGCAGGTGATTGGTGCTTCTCCTATGCTTGAGATCAGCAGGACGAAGAAGCGTGTGAACATGCGTGTAGCAAGGGGCTGTTGTTGGACACAGGGACATGAGGAGCGCAAGTACATTGTAGAACCTGGAAGCAGGTCTCAACATGCCAAAACTTCAGAAAACCTTTGAACTTCTGTTCGGTGCCAGGATCGCTGCAAGCTTTCGAGCCAATGAGGAGTCCGAGGCCAACAAGTCTCAGGCCTGCCATTTTGTTTGGTTCGTTCTTGCGAGGGGGAGTGATTCATATTCATTATTTGTTTAATTATTTCATTTTTTGTTTATTTGTATAGTATAAATATTATATATATATATATATACATATATATGTAGGTATGAAAGAAGATTCAGATGCTTTTAGGAAGGTTTAAGGCTCAAGGCTTGGGGCTATGGAGAACAGTTCAACTCAAGCGAGGAGGCTTTGGGTTTTCAGCATTGAGGTGTTTAGATGACCCTAGAGACTTTGGAGAGGCCAAGGAGGAGCACAGGTAAACCCCTAAACCCCAAACCCTAAAATGGTAAGCGGCGCGCATGTCGACATTCTCAAGGCTGCCAATACCCCGCGCAGCCGTGCGGCCAAAGGCCACTGTGGAAGCGGCTTTGGGTGATACTTCTCTGCTAGTACTGTAGTCATTCTGATGTACAACAATATGGTATATTAATGATAAGAATAACCATGTGAGTATGGTTTACCCAGCCGTGCGCGTTCGGGCGCCAGCTGCTTGAGTTCGTGCCGAAGCGGTGCTGGAAGGAGTTTTGGCCGATGTTCTGCGAGGGGAGCTGCCATCTTTTGCTCGGGCTGCTGACTCTCAGGACAGGCTTCTCACCCTAAACCCTGACCCCAAACCCCAAACCCTAAACCCTAAACCCTCAGCCTAGGAACTGCGCCGAGCACCTCAGGGTTTTCAGGGCTGTCATCGCAAGAATGATGCGGGGGGTTTCCGAAAAAACTTGGGGGTACCCTTTTTGGGGGTCCCTTGAAGGGGATTCTATTCTATTTGGGGTATAGCAGGGACCCTATTTTGGGACGTACCCATATAAAATGTAGAAAGCTTAGGCTGAGGCTTAGGCTCGGGCTGCGATGCGTCCAGGACCCAACAACGCTGCTTGGGCATCCAGTGGCTGAGCTCCCAGTGCCGGCACAAGTGTCAGAGCTCGGCACTAAACTGGCCTTAGTATAAAGTTGTAAAATGTAGAATCCATAATATATGATAATATTGTATCATATACCTAAGCCCTAAGCCCTAAAACCCACAACACGCAATGAGGCCGACGAACCTTAAGCTATTGCCAGTGCTACATCTAAACCCTAAACCCTAAACCCTAAACCCTAAACCCTAAACCCTAAACCCTAAACCCTAAACCCTAAACCCTAAACCCTAAACCCTAAACCCTAAACCCTAAACCCTAAACCCTAAAACCTAACCCCTAAACCCTAAACCCTAAACCCTAAACCCTAAACCCTAAACCCTAAACCCTAAACCCTAAACCCTAAACCCTAAACCCTAAACCCTAAACCCTAAACCCTAAACCCTAAACCCTAAACCCTAAACCCTAAACCCTACACCCTACACCCTAAACCCTAAACCCTAAACCCTAAACCCTAAACCCAAATCGGTTAGTGAGAAAGCGCCTGAGGCCCTGCGCCTGGGAAGGGAAGACTTGCAAGAGGATAAAGAGGCGCCAGCTCGCAGGGATCTGCAGCGTTCGGTTTTGAAAAATTGGGTGTAGGGTTTAGGGTTTAGAGGGTAGAGGGTTTAGGGTTCATTTCCCTACATGAGGGCACCCCCTCTACACCCCAAATAGAGTAGAATTCTCCTTAAAGGGACCCCCAAACAGGGTCCCCCGACGTTCGGAAACCCCCTACCCTAAACCCTAAACCCTAAACCCTAAACCCTAAACCCTAAACCCTAAACCCTCAGTTGGGCTTGGGGTTGAAAAACTGCTTTGGTCTCGCGAGCTGGCGCCAGGCAGCCGAAGGAAAGGAGACCTGGATCCCGCCTCCCAAGTTCCAGGCGCGTGGAGAGAGTGGGTTTAGGGTTTAGGGTTTAGGGTTTAGGGTTTAGGGTTTAGGGTTTAGGGTTTAGGGTTTAGGGTTTAGGGTTTAGGGTTTAGGGTTTAGGGTTTAGGGTTTAGGGTTTAGGGTTTAGGGTTTAGGGTTTAGGGTTTAGGGTGAGAGGAGAACGGTTTTGCATCAATACTTTTTAAACTCTGCGTTCGCTCTGTTCTCCCTCTCTCCTTGCCTGACTGTGGGGAAAAAAGAGTGACAGCTGAGAGCACAGCGAGCTGAAAGCTATTCTGCGGCTCTGCCAAGGTACGCCTCGGCCTTCTCCGGAAAGAGTCCCGGAAGGAGACCCAGAAAAGAAAGACATGTACGCTCGAGGAGAGGGAGAGTCTGTTTGTACGTATGTTCTCTGTGGGGGAAATCGTGAACGTTCGTGAACTGTATCTTTGCGGAGGCAATAGCAGGCAAGAGCGTGTGTTCTTTCGAGAGAGCTCTGTTTGCCGCTCTGTCCAAGACAAAAGAGGAGATGCCGTTGGCAGATTTGGCAGCCCCAGCACTACCAGCGGACTGGAGCCTTCTGAAAACCATGCAGCCTCTTGGCAGTCCATAAGAAAGCTTATCGGATGTTATAGTTTTAGTCATAGCATATCATACCTTCAGCCGTTTTATTTCCTGCTAAAGTTCTGAACAACTCGAGCAGCATCCTCGCTAGTCGGCAGAGGGACATCTTTTGCAGAGTCCAAGGTTCCTGCATGACCACCAAAGCGCTTCGGTGGAAGGTAAGTTCCAGGAGGTGCATTGGCAAACGCTGAGACGCGTGTGACAGCTGCTGCTTTGAGTCACCAGGAGAAGAAGCCCCACAGCTGCCACGCCGGTTTCTCAGGCATGATGTCGCTTGCAGGCTCAGGCGACAGCCGTGATAGCTTTCTGGTATAGTGAGTGTTGATGCGTCCGGGATCTATCGGGATGTGTGGGGGGGCTGCACAGTTGTACATGTGACGAGCTTGGCAGCGCACCCAGGCAGTCCCGCGTCGTGCGGCAGAGAAAGTTCCACTGGAGAATTGGCACGTCGGCTACTTCCTTGATGCTCGACACTACCGGACGAATGTAATCAATCAGTCGGTCTTGTGGAAGAGCTACTCCGTCTCCCGCTTTGGCTTGTTTGCTAGCTTGTTCAACTATGTACAGCTCAGGAAACAACGGATGCGGAGCCGCGGTGCCCTGAGCATGGGAAAGAAAGGGCCAGCTCTTTCTCTGCCGTTCGTACGGCTGAGGGCGGCGGGTGATGATCTGGCGGCCACCTCGTTCGACATGGACTCCTTCGCTTTGCCGCGAAAACCTCAGCCCTACACGACAGCTCTTGCTTGCTTGTTGGTGGTGGTGCGGCTCCTGTTCCTGCATGCATCCCCGCCCCCAGCCCCCACCACGCCGGCGACTATTGTGATGCCTGCCAATGCAACAGCTGTGAAATAAACGGCTGCCACTATCACTACCTCTACTGTGCCTCCTCATCTACCAAAGCAAAGAATGCTGAACACTTCGGGGCCGAGCGTGCCTGAATCAAATCCTAGCCTGAACGCTCGCGCACCTCTCCCTCTCTGACGCTCTTTCACCTCGCTTCCACAGGGCATGTTCAGGGGCATGAGGCCGCCTAAGCCGAGGAGGGACATAAATGCAGAGGACGATGAACAAGTTCGCTTCGAGGATGTTACGTCTTTCAGATTGTAGGAGTTGCGGGCGCGCAGTGAGGCGTCTCTGTCGACCAATGCGCGTGTCAGCCCTCCTTTCCCCAGACAACTGGGAAGACTCAATCACTTCCTCCTTCGTGAAGAAAGTGCCCCTTTGTCCAAACGCTGAGGCCGCTTGCAGACGCCGACGCTTCCACCGCCTCGGCGGCCTCTGAGCGTAGCCTGTAGTGCCCTCAGGACCCTGGCATGACAAGGAAGGCGTTATTAAAGTTTCGGGCGGCTTTTGCTGATACGATTGCTGGCTCGGCCTTTGCATGTTTACGGTTTCGAGTCCAGAGTGCTGGACCAGTTCGCAGCGTAGGGTTCGATGCTGGTTTAGGCTCAGGTCAGGTCATACTCTTGTTTTAGTTTTCGTCTGATGGCAGCCCTGCGGAATGTCGCTGAGGTCCATGCTTCCGCCGCTGTCGTTGCCATCAACACCCGTCACAGCCATCACAGCCAGCCCGGGGCGTATCCGAGCTGCACAGGGAGAGGCTCGCTGAGTTTTCGCTTGCCTGCACAGGAAGAAATCTCGCACTCCAAGCCAGCAACCTTGCACCCCAAAAAGTATACAGCAATGCAAGGTTCCTAGCAGAAGCCACTGCGTCACTACGTCTGGCAGAGCCTACAAGTCCCCAAGTCTTGCAGCTTACAGAATCTCCTTTAACACCTGATTTTTTCAGAGGCGTGTAATCTGAGCCGCACGAAATCCTGAGGCAGCCCGGCACCGTCGCTGCCTTTGGCTCCTCAAAGTCCCTGGATGAGCCCCCGGCAGAGCCCTGCAGGGCCCAGCGCAAAACGACTGCGGCGGGCCGCGCGGCAGCGTTTCGGAGATTTGGTTCGGAGTTGGCTGGAAAGAAGGGTTTGGGACCGTCGGGTCTTCGCGATGAATCAAACAGTGTCAAAAAGAATCCCCGGACCCTCTAAACCCTAAACCCTAAACCCTGTGGACCAGCGCCTCCTTTCCATTTGGAGCTGCCGAGGCAAGCTCTCAAACGTTTGTGGAGGAGACTCAGCTGCCTAGGTGTGAAGTATGATGAAGTGTGATGTACTGTGGATTGAGCTGGCAAGAAGTGAAGCTAAGTGAAACGCTACACTTTCGTCGCCTTCCTAAGGGCTCTCCCAGCTTCGTCGCAAGGGACCTGTACCAGTCCCCGAACTTGCAGCCTTGCCGGCTCCTGAGTTAGGGTCTCTTTGCACGGAGCCTTCTATGAAAAATGACACGCGCCTACGTGTATGAGGTGAGGATGGTGGAGCTGCCGTCAAAGGCTGGAGCACTCCAAGTCAAGAGACTGGATCGTTCCTGGTGCTGACTGCTCGTGCTCTCTCTCTCTCACTCTCTCTCTCTCTCTCTCACTCTCTCTCTCTCTCTCTCTCCTCTCTCTCTCGCTCTCTCTCTCTCTCTCTCTCTCTCTCTCTCTCTCTCTCTCTCTCTCTCTCTCTCTCTCTCTCTCTCTCTCTCTCTCTCTCTCTCTCTCTCTCTCCCTGCCTCAAGGCGCAGCACCCACTGAGATCCGTCGTCTCTTGAGGCCGATGACTCATTGTCATCAGCGCTGTGTCCATTGCATCCACATCTATGGCCCCTGCATGCAACCCAAGGCAGTGCATCGGACAAAGAGCTGGCATTGGCCTCGGCATGGTGTTTCCGAGCATACCATGGTGAAATTTACAATCGAAGGGTAGTTATATGGGCCCGTACGATTAAGGGTAAATCAGGGGGTATATGAGAAGTCCCCTTTTAAGGGCCCATATTAAGGCACCATGTAACTACCCTAGTTACGATACAAAGTGAGGCTGCAACATGGTTAAGTGCCCTTGTGCTGACAGGTGCCGATGAGGAAGTCCTGGATGCTTTCGAGCTACTCTCTGTCCTTTGGGAACGGGAGCAGGCCGGACAAGTCCCACGCAATCCATTGAGCGACGTTGTTGTCTACGCGGAATCAATTTACAAAAAAAGTACGGCCCGGAATGCGGCGCGAAACTGCACGGGACACTGGCCGCGGCGGAAGGGCTTGCGGAAGCTCATCTCTGCGGAAGCTCCCGCGTATGTACTGCGTATCTATACTACAGCAGCAGGGCCCGCTATAGCAAGCAGTCTACTTACGCCACGATCATTGAAGCTCAAATGGATATTTGTGTTCGGGCGTTCCGGAACCAGGGTTCTCAACCGCCACCTGGGCTCCAAAAGAGAAAGTTTGAACTCATTTCCAGGTTTGCGCCTCCCAAAGCCAAGCTTTCCCAGCCCCCTCCCCATGCGACAGCTGATGCTGCAGAGGGTTTCCATCCGCACGAAGTTCCGTGCTTTCGAGCCCGTGCTCTTGCGAGCTCAAGTCAAGCAGCATGCCAGAAAAGTCCATCGCAAAACGCATGCAGCAACATAGCAAGATAGCTGCTCCAAGCATCTCGGATCCACACAACATATATCCCACATCCGACCTAACACCAGCAGAACAGGCTTTCGCATGTTCCAGGTTGCTTCAGAAACTGCTCGCGGAACACAAGTCCCGAAATCTCACGAAACGAGCCCGCAGAAGCATCCACGCCCGGACCAGAACCAGCACTAGCGAAAAAGCTAGAAAACTGCGGAAGGGTTCCCGCGAATTGCAAAAATGCAAAATAATTCACAATCAAAGAAAGGATGTGAACAAAGACAAAACAACACATTATTAAATGCCTTTCTTCGTTTCTTTATTAGCACAGTTTCCTTGTCCATTTTCCGCTAATAATTTTACCGCATTTCATGTTACACCTTTTAGATTTACAAATCGCAATGGGGCCCAGTGCGCATCCCCAGCTTGCCCCCCCCCCCAGCCCCCCGGCGCTACTTCTCGTCTTCCTTCCGGACCCCTGAAATCCTCAACCCTGGATGCTTCATTATTCTTATGGGTATTTTATTGTTGTTATGATGCCTGCGAGTGAAAGAAATGAATGCACAAGGAATGCAAACAAAAAAAACAACGACGATATTCCATTCACTACGACTCATATTTGGATCTCTTTCAACCTAGTGCTTGCGTTATAGAAGTCTTTAATCCTTGATCCAATTCACGAATTTAGTATTGTTCATATGTTTTTCTGGTGTAATCAAACAAGTGTCTGTACAAGAACATGATAAACTCTATTTCTAAACCTAGTGAAAATAGAAAAATGGAAAGGAGGGAAATAAAGAAATGAATGCAATATACGTTTTGTGCACATTCCATTCATTTATACACGCACGAACTGAAAATGATAAAATCATGCGTTCTACATTCGCTTCGTTCATATTCTTTATGCAGTCAACCCACCAGACACTCCTTGTTAGTGAGAGAGAAGTTAAGGTGTCCGCTAATGACCCGTTCATTTAAGACACTCTCATTCTTTTTATTCTGTTGTTTATGCATGCGCGAGCGAATACACGAACGAAATGTGCATACGCCATGTTCACTTCGCTCATATTTCAGTGTGTAAGCTAGTGCACTTGCGCACCCTCACTCATATAGTTCTTGTCTTGTTTGCGGGCTCACATTGTTTGCTTGAGCTTTTCCACGCGCCCGCGCTACAATATATCACTATCCTGAGCCCCTTCATAAATCTAGAAAGAACCGGGGCTCATTACTGCCATATTTCCATATTGTTCCTGGTATTTTTGGATTTGCACTCGGCCCCAGGCCAGGACCGCTGATGCTCATGACGCGCTGGCCCGGGACCCGGGCGGCTGATGCTCATGATGGGTGCCCCCGTGGCCGTCCCGGCACTTGAGAGGGGTGGGGATGGGGCTAGGCTAGGCTGGAGCCCTGTCAAGCCCTTTGTGGGAGGCGCTGGACTGAAGGGGTGGAGGTGTGGGTTTGGGTGAGGGGCGGTAGGGGGTTAGGGGGGGATGCTAGGAATTAAATAGCGGGTCTGGTAGGGGGAGAGCGGTAAGTCTATAAGGGAGCAAGCAATCACTCGTAGGGGTTGGAGGGGCTGGGAGGGCGGTGAAGGGGTGGGCGTGTGGGGCTGCCTGGAGTCGTCAAGTCGGGTGATGGACTGTTTTTATGCTTGAGCTTATTCTAAGCCAAAAAAAGCGAAATGGCGCTCGGGCCGCCTTTGGGCCCCTCCACCCCTTGACATATGTGAACAGCTCAAAAAAAGCTAAAGAAGATGCAACGGAGGCCACTGACTTGACGTGGGTGAATTCGAAGCTGGATTGGCACCTAGGCCGAATGGTGATGTGCCTTTGCTGAGGTTTTCAGGGCTTAGGGCGTTTGTTTTGGGAGGGTTTAGCTGAGGGGCTCCCCCCCAAAGCCAGATAGGCGAGGTGCGCCCCAGGCACGATCAAACATTGCGCAGGGGCTCTTCTGAACAAGGGACCCTAAACCCTAAACAAACCCTAAACCCTAAACCCTACTTGTTCTGAGGAAGTTGAGCCACCAGCTGGAGGAGCGCAGCAGCCTAACGCAGCTGACGGTGCCGCGCTTTTTTTTGGGGATGGGGGTTTGAATCTCTGCGTGGCGAAGGACCCGCTGAGTGTTTCAAGCGGAGCCTTGCCTCTGTGGGCAACGACGAGCCTCGGCTAGCATCATGTTTAATGCCTATTAAGGACTCTTAGTATAAGGGGGAGCATCCCAGAGACTCCCAAACCCCTTTATTAAGGAATACGCCTTAAATCATATTAGGGCTCCTAGTTGCGAGGCCTGGCTAAGTTGAGTTGAGTCGCTGGCCTCGAGGGACCTTGAAGGATCCCGCCCCCTTGAGCCCAGGCTACCACGAGCTTGCCCATTTCTGTTCAGAGACTTGGCTTGCACCAATGCGAGGTGTACAGACGTTTGGTGATGTTCACAGGGCGGTCGAAGTGCGCGTGGAGCAAGGCCTGCAGACCCGGAAGATGCTCCTGCGCTACACTGCCCTTGGGCCATCACTCGCAGTGCACTGGGCGCAAGAGAGCAAGGACCATCCCTTGCATGCCCTTGCCGAATGCTCATGGGCGACACATAACTTGTGAGTCAAGAGCTGGCAGGTTGGGCCATACCTGTGCCTTGGATTCCTTGGCTTTCTCAATGTCTGGTGGTCATGTCGGCTTGAGCCTCCAGACACCACCGAGTTGCTCTTAGGCGCCGCCGCAACTCCTTGCCGACAGAACTTGGCGCGGCAACACAAGGCGACCCGCGGAAAGTGGAGGCCCGCGCCGTAGTGGCGCCCGCATCCATGCCACTGCAGTTCCGAACAAGTGGTAGGCAGTAGTGTGACACGAAGAGACGAGAAGTTTCGCGCGTCGCGGGGGATGCCCAAACCCCTGGAGCGCATGAACCCTTTCATATCCTTTCATCCTCAGGAGCTCTTGCAAGAAGTTTCGAACATCGAGGCGCCAGGGAATTTCTGTCCAAACCGCTGGAGCGGGTGAATCCCTTCATCCTCTTGGTTGAGAGCTGCTTTAGGAGATTCAGTCACGCCAGGACCACGTGGTCAGATCTGACTTCTGGCTGGGCGCATTGCAGAGCACCCTTCTGCGCCTACAGCGCAACTCAGGCAAGGCCCAGCACAGGGGCGGTTGACGGACTTCTCGTAGGCGCTCGAAGGTTGGAGGCTCTTTAGATCCTTTTGTCGTTTATGTGCGGCCGCCAGCGCCGAGTTTACGGGTACTGGTAGCGAAGACAGCTGCTGAGCCGCAGGCCGCCCCGACAGCCTTTGTGATGTCCCATGCTCAGAGGTCAGAGTTCATGTTCTGCTTTGGGAGGGAGACGTTTCTTGGACGATTGCAGCGAGATGGGCGAGATGAGTGCATAGTTTATATTGCGCAGTCAAGCCTAAGCTGTGGCTTTGTAGTTGTCTTCTGAGGTGTCAGGCGAGCGAAGCTCGGAAGACCTTGCCGATGAGCTCTTGCTTCAGCAGGTGTGCTCCAATCTTGAATTCCATGAAAAACCCAAAAGTGGCCATTGAAGCACTTCAATGTATACGGCTGACCGAAGCCCTTACGTGTTGCCAGTAGCAGACCTTCGATGGCCTTCAACCAGCGCGCAGAGCCTCTTGCGCTCCAAAAGCCAATAGAAACCAGACCGAACATCTCCAAGCGCCAAACCTGCCCTTCATCCGAAACGTGTGCGGGAGAACCCTGGGAGCTGTATAGAAAGAACCGTAAACATGCGCAAGGCCATGTAAACCCAAAGCGAAACAAACACTCGGTCGGCCACAGGCGGAAGCTGCCATGGAGCGAATCGCTCCCTCGGATCGACTGCTCGAGGAGCGCGACTCATTTGTTTGCTTGGGGGGGGGGAGGGGGGGTGTGTGTTGGGAAGCTCTCTGAGTGTCGTTTTGGGGGCTGAGTACTCACAAACAGCAGACGTGCGATATTGAGCAGAGCAGGATGAGCCTGAACCCCCAAAACCCATGGCCCGGCTAGAAACAAGTTTGGCAGGGCAAATAGATTGGAGCTCGGGCACCCTGACTCCGGTGCATTCAGCCACAAATTCCCACCAAGATCCCGAAGCACGAAATTTTTGAGCCATGTGGTACCCGAAACGAATCCGAGCCTAAGATGTTCAAGAATACCAGGCCATGCCAGGCACGATCAACATGAAGCAACGAGAGTTCCACTGATGCGTGGTGAGGTTCAGTTCGACACAGAGACGGGCTTCGGCAGTGCAGTCACGCGCTCGTTCTACGCAGAGGCTGCTGGCAGTCTCTTGCTGGTTGCCTTGTGTCGGTGAGACTGTTCTTCCCGCAGGTCTCTTTGCAAAGGAGTAGCTTAGCCTCCTTCGGGGGGGGCCTTCATGCTCCAGTTGGCAGGTGGCCAGGGCGCTGCAGAACAGGGCAACGAACCGAAAGGTACCCATGTGGGTCGAGGCCGGCAAGTGGTCGGCGGCAAACTTCGATACCATCCAAGCAATAGTTGTTTGGTTCCTGCAGAGGCACAGCACAAGAAGGAAGAACTAAGCCCATGAATGCCCCCGAAGCCCGCAACTCCACGCTAGGATGATGCAAACGGCAGTGGCCACAGCAGTGGCAGCGGTGGTGGATCCAGCCGGCTTCCAAAGCGCTTTGTGGTCGCCTAAATTACATATGTTTAAGGGAATCGTTGGATGTATGTCTTTTGTCAGCCACCCGGCACGTTGCTACATTACTCTATCTCGCGAAAGTAGTGATGGAAACGTCACCAGAGCCCAGAGCATCATTACTGCCCGGCTCACAAAACATGAGGTCAGCACTTGCGTTGCCGATCTGGGCTGTGGGTGCGACCACTGCCACCATCAAGCTCAGCATCAGGGGAGGCCTGATTTCTAACAGTGGATGCGCCCCGCAATCTTCCGTTTTTCTGCTTGCACCGTGTAATATGCACTGAGTTGGCACAATGAGCAACCAGACGCCTCAGATCGCAGCGTGCGCGCAGGCAGAGCGGCGCTTTCGCTTCCTGGGGCGGCTCGTGGGGCGCGCGCTCAAGGACGGCTTCATCGTCCCATTGCCCCTCGGGGAGGTGCGCAGTGCGTGACGGTAGCGGTGCTCAGCATGCTCGAGGGCATCGTATCATTGCCTCATTCTTGGAGGCCTTTTTTGCGCGGACACTCTTGGGGCAGAAGCCAGCCAAGCTGCACGAGAGCAACAGACGAGAACCTTTGACAGCTTTGCCCAGGCCCTCGGTGTTTTGGACCTCTTCTGGATTCGTTCGAATGTGCCCCGCAAAAAACATCAGCAGACTCAAGGGTCTTGTGTGATCACGTGACTGAGCTGTAGCACGATGAAGTTTCCGGGAAGAACTAGTGGCCTCAGCGCATCGTTTACAAGTCTTCCCAAAGGATCCTAAATGAAACACGAGTGCAGGCCTGGAGCGGGCTGCGCATGCGCCTTACTGCTCCACTGGGGTGGATCATGACATTTTTCGGCGTGCCATGTCACAGTCCCAAAGCATGTGCAGAGCCAACTTTCGAAGCATTACAGTTCACCATGTCCATGCGATTCCAAGGGTGTGAACGGTTAAGGAGTTAGGGTCGCAAGGTGTGACAGGGAGATTCCGTGAACTTGGATGACACGGTTCGTTAGTATGGTTTCTGTGTTCGGTTCTCTTTTCGCTCCTCGAAAGACTCTAGTTATGCTGAGCGAACACACGATTAATTCATTCATGCCCCCGTCTCAAGAACGCTAGAATCCCCTTCATTTTGTTGGATTCGCTCAGTCTTTCACGATCTTTGTATTGGTAGTTTCTGTATTCTTCCAGATTATCAGAGGCCGGTTGAATTAGCCCAAAAAAGAGAAATGTGGCCTTAAAAAGATTAGCGAAATTAGTAAAAGAAAAGTCGCTGAATTTACACTAGAAAGGCCATTCGTTCTGTTGCTTGTCAAAACTATACAGAGAATCAGGGCGTTTTGGGGTTTATTGCACATTATCTTTCCAAAAGAAGGCTCATGAAATCTCATGCAGTTCTCTTCTTAATGGACCCAGTAGTGCCAATAGAGCTACTGAAAGACACGGGTGATGTAAATGTGTGCTCAGTGAGACAAAGTAACTAGCTCGTGTCACTTTTCCCTTTGCCTTTCATGCTGTGTTAACAGTCGTATTTATGAAGGGTCTTTTCAGCTGTAATAAAGAATAACCAACAAAGAAGCGATAAAAGACTGTATGTTTTACATCTTTTTCTAATGCGGCAACTTGATGATAGTACACGTGCGGGGAGAGAGAAGACTAAAACATGCTAAAGTGAAAACGGCACTTTTCTCCAGCACAAACACACACTCACGTTCACCTTCTTCGCCAGTCCTCTTCTTCGACCCTGATACCAAGACTAAGATGAAGAAGAAGAAAGATGGGACGAGAAAAGTGCATTAGAAAAGGGCTCAATGGTCTGGCCGCTGGATTCCCAGGTTAAGAAGTGTTCACAGGCTCACTTTTTACCCTGCATTTTTCTGCGTTTGTCTGTTTTTTACGGGGCTGAGCGAAAACATCTTCAGCGGGAAGCCTTGGGGTTTGAAGCATCAGCAGTCCCAAGACGAGCCAGCGAATCTCTAGTCACTTCCGACACCTTGAGCCTTCAGTCAAGTCACACTGCAAAACCCTAAACCCTAAACCCGAAACAAGGTATCAAAGTGAATCACGAAGTAGTCGAGGCCGGCGAGCTCTGCGGCGCCTTGGCCGACTTCGTTGCTGTGCTGAAGTCGGGCGAGGAGCGGTGGCATGTGGTTTCCTCTTCCCGCATGACATTCGGCAATTCAGAGATCCGAGTGCCTATATATGCTTGATATGATATGTTCGGCTCTGAAAAGTTCTCAACGGCTGAATGTCGCTCGCAGGAGCTTCACTGCCGTGAGCGGGAGCAGGCCGCTTCTCCAGCTTTTCAGCGCATGCCCGGTGCACTCCCAGCACATTCCGGCAGGATGCCCTCGTCAACCCAAGGTATCCCTCTGAAGTCCTTGTTGAAAGTCCCTGCAAGTCCCTGCCAAGGCGGGCCTGAGCAGGCCTTCGGCTGAAGAGCTGCAAAGCTGGCGCGCCCACAACTGCAGCGTGTCACAGACATGAAGTGCATTGCTGACCGACGGCTGTACAGGCGCAGATCTCAGAGTCGCGAGCGCGATTTCACCGCCAGGTTTCTGATGGCAGGACTGACAGCCATGGAAAGGATTTTGTCGAGCCCGCAGAATTCTGCAACCCGGGCGCAGGCGCTACGCCTGAGCCCATGTCCTTCGAGGAGTACACGTCCCTGGTTGGAGCCCAGCACTCAGGGACGGCCTCTGCTTTTTGTTGAAAACTGCGCGTGCAAAGCCGGGCTTGCGTGTGTTCGATGTCTTCTTGCTCTCACCCTGCTAGAGAGAGGACTGTCAGTTGCAGGTGAGCTTCTTGGAGACAGGCCTCAGTGGCGCTCCTCTATGTCCTGGTGGAGCTGACAGGGCTGTCACAGTGTGGGCCATACTCAAATGATCGAAGTTTGGCACCCCTAATCGTTGGCAGTCACCAGGTCGAGAATGTTGAGGAGTTTGTGGAACTGGCGCACGCGTACTGGTGCGACGATGGTGGCTGGCTGAATTCCTGACAGCACATGCACTTGACGGACAACAGAATCAGCTCGTAATTACTTTGTAATCCGATGGTAGAGACTTCAGGGCAAACCCGAAGCTGAAGCCGCGCCTTAGTTCCATGCTGCAGACTCCTCAGGCGTGCGAGCTCAGCTCACGGCTTTCCGAGAGGGCTTGGATGAGGTGGGGTCTGGAGCAAGATCCGAGCACGTGGAGTTGCTGCGTGAACAGCTGTAGTGAGCCGTTGCGGGAGCAGGTGTTGTCTGATTGGTCAAAAGCAGGTCATCCCCGTCGAGTGCTTCAGCGCATTCAGCGCCTTGGAGTTGCGGGACATGATCTGCCGGGGGCTCTGCTTAGTGCGCACTTCGTCTGACGCAACATGGGGGCTTACGAAAATAAGGCGACCCCTGATGTAGACCCCCAAATTGTAGGATTCCTTTATCATAAGGACCCCAATAAGGTACCCCGAGTTTCGGAAATGGCATGACGTGTCTCCGAGCATGCTAGTAGGCAGCTGTATTTCACAGTTCGTGGCCACGAGAGACCTTGCTGCACAATGCACGTAACATAGCATCTCGCCAAAATGGACACGCGTGAGTGGAACTTACAAAGACTCACAAAGAAATGGGCATTACGTCTGTTTTGAAAGATACGGCACATGTTCTTGAAATCCATGCTAATGATGTGTGTCCTGACGAGACGATGACCCGAGTGACCCGAGAGTCATGATGGGAATTAACTTTGACAAAATGCAAAGATTCCGAGTCCACGAACACCGCGCCTCAGGGACTTGGACCAAGGGGATGGAGAATCCACCGCAGTGGCCAACCTCCATGCAACACGTGCAAGAAGCAGACAGCTTCCTACGTGCTACAATGTACCTTTTGGCGCTCTGCTTCCTTACAGCCATGCGAACCCTGGGCTGACTGCAACGTTTTTTGGAAGCCTCGCAGACTCAAAAGGTTTTTTTTTAAGAGGCCGTACTCTTCAAGAAGCATCCGGCCCTGCTGCGGATGATTCGGACTCAAGAACCCGTGACCCGGTCCATGCTTCGGCCACGGATACAGCGAAGATGGACAATCTGAATTCCAGACGCTGCTTCTGGTGACTGAGCTATACTAGTAGAGAGGGGCCAGGGTGCTCTTTCTCTCTTTGTGTTGTAACCTAAGAACAAAACACTCGCGCTGGCATCCCCACACATGATTCAGTGGACTGCTTCATTGGGAACCCTAGGCCCCAGCCGCTGAATCACAAGACTTTATCCGAGACCGAAGGAAGTTGTGACGAGGGGCACTCATGCGGAGACTCCATCCGCCAGACACTTTGCAAAGCAAAAGGTGAGAAGCGAAAGCCAGCTCTGACGAGTTGTGCATTGGTACGTACTGGTGGTAGCATTTGAGAAAATCTGTTCATGGCTCTGTTCGATTAGGCCGGCCTTTGAAAGTTGTGTTGCCGAGACATCGGTTTTAGACCCTAATCCCTGAAACCCTCAAACCCTCAACCTTAAACTGACTGAACACAAGCTGCCTCGGATAACAGCTTTTCTGGTCACCCTCCTTGGACACCCCAGCCGCTGAATCACGAGAGTTCGTCTGGGTGAAGAAGAAGAAGAAGCTGTCTCTGTGACAAATGACACTCAGACGGAGACCCCAATCACACTGCGAATCATACGAGGTTGCAGGTGAGAGCCTCTTCTGACTGCGTCAAACGGTCAAACAATGTTCAACTTTAGAAAGTTGGGCGGGTGGGATTCCTAACCCAAGTCTTGCGTCGTCTGCGCTGAGGTGGAGAAGATTCTGTCGAGCAGGATACTTGGATTGCTTGGGCCAAGCCCAGCTTCGTCCGCGCGCAGCGGTTCAACTCCGGATGTGGCAGGAAGCAGACCGAAGCACGCCAAAGCACGAAGCCATATGAAATAGGGTTTATATATGTTTATATTACTGTTATTGGTGAGTGTATATAAGGTTCCTTTTTAATATTGGTGAGTGTATATACCCTACTTCATATGAAGCCAATGTCTGGCCGAGGTGGGGCGAACAAGAGCTGCTGGATCATTTGCGTCCATCAGGAGACGTCTCATAACTTCTGCGCGCGGGTGTCACCCCTTGGGGTCTGTGCGTATGGTTTCCATGTACGTCCATTGTGCTTCACCACAAATCAGGAGGTTTGACTGAACATTCGCCGGCATACCAGCACCTTGTGGCACCAGCCCTGGAGACATTGCTCCAGCATCAGCAGCGAGTGTGCAGAGAGTCTCGTTCTCATACCGTTCCCAGGCTGTCTTGCTGGACATGGATCAGGCGAATCCGCTCTGGGCTTTCTGACATGGGGGGTTCCGAAATTAGGGGGTATTGTAGTCCTTATTATGAGGACAACTGGAGGATCTGAATATGGGGGGCTCCGCTATTTTCATAAACCCCCACATGGTTCCATCTTGGCTTGGATTGCGAGGTGAACCGATCTCGCTTCCTCGATTTCGTCTCCTCCTGCCCACGATTTCCACCTGGAGGCTGAAAACGGGGGGTTTAGGGTTTAGGGTTTAGGGTTTAGGGTTTAGGGTTTAGGGTTTAGGGTTTAGGGTTTAGGGTTTAGGGTTTAGGGTTTAGGGTTTAGGGTTTAGGGTTTAGGGTGGCTACAAGTCAAGCAAGCTTTCTGAGCTGCATCCCCGTGTGCTAGGATGGCACATGTTTGGGGCGCCCGGCCGGGTTTCAACTTTTTTCTGCAGCTGTAGGTATCGATTCCTTCCACGTGGACGTGTTCCCTGACTCCACTGCAGGAGGGGTTACACAGAGCAAGTGTTTCAGTAAGTGGTTCAAAGGGGCATTGCCAACGCCAGGTTTTCGACACCCGCTCTGCATGATCCACAATCCTGAAACACCATGATTCGATTAGCATCATGCGACTTGACTTCCACCCCACATTGACCTCTCAGCCGAGAGGACGTGGCTTCCCACGATCGCGCGCATGCGCCAACCAGCTATATTTGCCCCTGTGCCCCCACTGCGAGGGTGTGGAAGTGAGGTAGATACACGGCCACGGCTTTGCATGCTTCCTGATGCTTGGCATCTTTGCAGATGCGATGTTTTAATGCCTATTCAGGAGAACATGCTTGTGGCATAGAGGGTATGTCTAGGCGGCTGAAACGTGCAATGAAGGGTTGCCCTAAACCTTAAACCCTAAACCCTAAACCCTAAACACAGGTTACACCAGAAACAGACTTTGAAGTGGCACGTCGCCTGCAGGTCTCATGTCGCCCCTTGCAGGTACAGATCCAAGGAAGAATTAAGGGAGAGACTCCACGAGGCGTGGGGGTTTAGGGTTTGGGGTTTGGGGTTTGGGGTTTAGGGTGAGATCTCCGAGCAGGCGATGCATGGTTCTGCTGGACATCATGAACAGGAGCAACGTATCCTGGCGTCATGACCAGGCCTTCGGCTTTGTCCTTCACACTTTCCCCTCGTCTTTGCCTTTCTTAGTTCATGGTCATGTATATATATATATACATATATATATATATATGTATGGTATGATCTGCTGCCAGGGCCAGACCACCAATCTAAAATCCTTTGTGAGTGGCTAGCTTGGCTAGATAGGAAAGTCAGTGCCCGTGAAGCAAGACCTGTGATCACATTGCGGTGTCAGAGCGTTGCTTGGCATCCTTCTAAACGGCTTCATCACGGACACATTTTTGGGCATGCTTTTCAAGTGGCCGCCCTCGCTGTAAGTGCAGTACAGCGATGTACATAGTTGGTGGCAGTCGAGAGAAGTGATCAAAGTTGCATATCCATGGCGCCCCACAACAAGCATGTGCTCATGTGTGCTCGACTGTTCCGGAGGTTGTGTTTATCCGGTTTATCCCGCTCGAAACACTTGGAGGAAGTGGCGCATCCAGCTTCAAGGTTTGCGTCCCCCCCCACCATAAGACCCTGCGATCAAGACCTACCTTGCAGCTAAGCCAAGTGAACATGTGTCACTGAGAAGAGCAAAGCTCATTCATGACTCATGATCTTCCAGATGCATTGAATCGTCCTGTCTCTTGCCTGCATTAAGCAGCGAGCTGGTGTTACTCATGGGCTGCGCGATTTGCGTTCAGTCCTTTTTCAATGTAGAGACAGGATTCGTCAAAGGCCCGACAAGTCATATTGTTTGTGAATGCCAAGACAGAAAAGAGCTCAACGTATGCTAGCTGCGTCTTCTGTCATGCCCCACCCCAAAGTCCTAAGTAAAGCTTCTTTCGGCCACGGGACAAGGAGCAGCAGTTTGAGCACATAATGTTGACCTCCGATTAATCACCCCCGTCTGTTGCATTGATTCGATCCCTTGCCCCCCCCCCCTCCACCCCTCCCAGAAGTTTAAGGATGAGTTCTGGGTCACGACGCAGCAGAAAGACACGAGATCTCGTGCCTTGAAAGAACAAAGCGTCCCCAGCTTCCCTTGATTTTCTGAGCATTCTGAACTGACCTCTTCGCACTGCGACTGCGAGGAGCTGCACTGCGTGGCCTCTCCCCACACAAGCCAAAGCAGCCAAGCCAGAAGCATTTGTCTACAACACGAGGTTCAGTTCCCCTGCAGCACAAGATCGTTGTGATCGGCCGAAACGGTCCAGGCAAAAGTCCTAAACATAGCGCCCCAAATCCACACTTCTGATATCTACATCAGATTTATCAAGCACCCCTCAGATATGATCCCTCACAACCGTCTTCATTCTTAAACTTGGGATACTTCCGCCGCCAATCCGACTTTCCTCCCTCCTTTCGTGCATGTCGGATATATGTTGGCTCATTCTCCGTCCGGCGTCCTGTAGCCGGTCCTGTTCTCTAGGTCTCGGTTCTGCGCTCTTTGAGCATGGGCCACGATTTGTCGGTTGTCGATTCACTTTCCTGACGCGGTTCTCAACCCACACCTTGTTTTCTCCATATTCATGTGCCTCTTGCCTGCAATACGAAACAGGTATAACGGTATTCGCTGTGACGGGAGCGACCCGTGATCCCCTTGCGGGCTGAGAAGAATAAGCGAAGATAAACGTACATATATGGGCTGAGGCCACCCCTCAGGACTGAATGGGCGAGCACTTGAGCAGTTGGCTTGGCTTCAAAACTTTATTCGAAACTGAACTGCTTAATCAAAAAGCTATGCTGTGCTTGACTTTCGGGCTTTAGTGGAATTGACATTTCAATGCTGACTTCCTGCAGTGTGTCTGCGTGTTGACCTTTCGCTGCCGGAGCCACTCCTCCACGTGCTGACCACCTGAGATTTGCCAAGTCGCAAAAGCACCAAGCCCTTGCCATGTTGTGGGCAGCCTTGGTGACAAGCGCAGAGGCCGTCATGAAGATCGTCCTCGTTTGTGCGAGTGGAGCGTACTTGCAGAAGACTGGCGCGTTCAGCAAAGCTGTGTGTAAAGGCGTATCAGCTGCTTTTATAGATGTGCTGTTGCCGTGTCTTCTTTTCACGCAAATCTTGCAGATGATGTCGGTCGAGGTCCTGCCAAAGCTGGGATGGCTGGCGATGGCTAACATAGTCTGTGTGACAGTTGGACTAGGGATTGGATACCTGGCGGTGCTAGCAACACGGCCTCCGAAAGACATGCGAAGCATCTTGATTGCTGCACCGGCTATCGGACATGCTAATGCTATCCCATTTATGCTGGTCAGCCTCATAATCTCAGAGGATGGAATATTTCAACCGGGAGACATCGTCATCGCACAAAGCTACGTGGGCTTGTACCTAGTCATGCACAGCATTACTGGCTGGGGAGTCGGTCTAAGCATAATCAAGAAGGATGAGGCGGATGTGGCGTCACTTCCTGAAAGAGAAGCCACGAACGACAGCCGCGGCACAGAAGCTTTGCGCGGGAAAGAGACGATCGCGAGCAGCACAAGCGAGCCAAGCGATCCAAGCGAGCCAAGCCGGCGTGAAGTGGAGGTGGACATGGAGCTGGGCTCGGCTAGTGCCACCGAGAAGGCTTCATGCTGCCATTGCTGCCGGCCTCGAATCTGGAGTCAAAGCATGCCGAGATGGGTGAATCGGCCGATGATGACGGCCATCCTCTCGGTCGTCCTCGGCCTCATCCCCGGACTCAAGGGTGTTGTGGCCTCAGTGCCGCCCCTAAGCTTCGTCTTCTCCGCCATGAGCTCTTTGGGAGCTACCGCCCCGGTGATGAGCCTCTTGCCCGTGGGAGCCAGCTTCGTGGCCGATGGCATTCCTCGGCCCTCCATTATCGGGTACAAGGCCTTGTTGGCGATCGTCGTCTGCCGGCTTCTTCTCCTTCCTGCCGTGTGCATTTCTTTGTGGGTGGCCTTGAGATGTTATGTTCCCTTCTTCCCACAAGACCCGAGCTTGATGCTGGTAATGTGTCTTGAATGCTGCACGCCTACTGCATACAACTTGGTAACGGTTTGCATCGTGATGGAGGTGGGTGCCAAAGAGTTAACGACTGGCCTCTTTTACCAGAACCTTGCAGCGATCGTAACGCTCACATTGTGGATCGCCATCATTATGGCTCTGGTCATTTAAGTCCTGGGGCGATGGCTTCCTGAGTTCTCTTGCAAAGCTTTGTGCAGCTGTACAGGAGCTTGAGTTCTCGGATGGATGGAGCGATCCATCGACGGGTAAAAAAGTATGCCATGTCACTTTTTTCGGTGCTGATGCGAACACGGAAACAATCTGTTCCAAGCCGGTGAAAGGGGCAAGGAAATGCTGACGCTGCCAAAGGTCCTTGCAAGGCGTGTGAAATTTTCATATGTGTTTGGCGCATGTCTCTGAGCATCCGGTCGTTTTTCTTCCTTCTTCTTCATGGAACATGCCGTAAAATACCTCGATTTGCTGCTGTCACGTGGCACCCCCGGTTTGAATTTGGCTTGATCCAGCAACCAACCTGCCTGCACTCCGTCCAGGTGCTTCTCTGCCTTCCACCCATGGCCGCGCCATTGCTGCAGGACAGAAATCTCGCAGAGACGTATGAGTTCACCGACCCGGCGGAGATGCCTTATTGCTGCGACATCCTGCAGCTGCGTCAGAAGGAGATGTGGCCCAACAAGCCGCTCGAGTACTCCGTGGTGGAGGGCGATCGGACCTTTAACCGACACTTTGGAATCTGGCATCGAACGAGAGCAACAGGAGCAGCAGCAACACCAGGAACACTGACAGATCTGCCAGGCAGGAGTCGCGGCATGAATATCACGAATGTTCAGCTGGAGCTGGTATCGGTGCTGACAGTCACCGTGGAGCCTCATGAGTCCCAGGCTCGCTTGCGGATGTTTGCCACTGATGGCCGCTTTCGGAAGCTCAGGCTGGGTACCATGGTCGCCAAGTATCTATATCCCCCTTGGGAATTATTTTGGTGTTTTTTGTTTATATACAACCCAAGAGTAGATTTAAGATATCCTCTTTATTAAGGTTCAAGGGGGAGTATAGGTATGTCTATTCCTGCCTCGCGGCGGAGGGAATGCGCCGTGTTTGGTGCAGCGCACGGGCTGAGAAGGTTCCCTACTACCAGCGCCACCTCAACCTCCGCGTGATCAGCTCCATCTTCGAGAAAGGTGGCCTGAAGTTTGTCTTCATGGAGTCCTGGCTCAGGGATCTCAAGGCCTCAAGCACCTTCTGTCGCATTCTTAAGCAGGTTGACGGAGAAACTTCCAGGGTCTGTGTTTACGCCAAGCTCTGATCCTCATCGGTGGCTTCGAACCTCGCCTTGTAGAGCCTTGTACAGGAGGTCGAGGCCCGACAGACTGCGCGTAACACCCTGCTGCTCAAAGTGCATCAACGCACCCCTGCAGAGGTGAGCGGGCGTTCTCCCATTTAAGCTTGAGAGCGATGTCGTGTCTAAGATACTCGGCACAAGCACTGTGACAGACTCAAATGACTCTAGGATTAACTTAAGGCAGTGCCCGACCGATGGTTCATGGTCGAAGCAATGATTGTAGCTACAGCTACGACAGACCACAGCTTACAACTATTCCAAGGAACTGCTCCAGCTACTTGCTTCATATCCACACACACACAAGCTGCAGAACATGTTTGTGCTCTGGATGCAGCTGTGCAATCAGCCGCATGTTTTGGATAGAGAAGCTGTCTGCTAACACTTCCTCCTTATTTACTTTTGAATAGCCAGCTGCAAGCTAGCTCCATGCTACCGCCCATGCATGCTACGGAGCAGTACAGGAAGCTTATGTTGTGACCATGTCCGAGCCTGGTTGCAAAGTCCAAATCGTGCGTAAGTCGTAGAAGGTGCAAGGGAGAGCGCCATGAAACCACGCGCGAGCCTCGATCTGGCCGGCGTTGCCGACTTTTTGAAATCAGGCGCGTGCAAGTCCGTCTATGTCCTTACCGGCGCCGGGGCTTCGACGGGCGCAGGGATTCCTGATTTCCGGTCACCGGGAGGAATGTATGACTCCTTGCGGCCCGAGCTCATCACTGCCACGGAGGCGCAGCGCAAGCGCATGCGCATGGACCCTGTCAATGTGGTCATGAAGGATATGTTTTTTCAGAACCAGTTCCCGTACCTTGAGGTGCGAAGGCCTTTCATTCTAGGAACACAGCAGCAGCAATGGAAGGCCACATTGACGCATTGGTTCATGCACTTTCTGGAAGAGGAGGGCTTGCTGAAGCGTCTGTTCACTCAAAACATTGACGGCTTGGACTATCAAACTGGCATCTCGCCGAAGCTGGTCACAAACGTCCATGGGAGCGTGGCGAGGGTGTCATGCGAAGGATGTGGCGCAGAGATGCCATTCGACGACTTCTGCACACAGGTCCGAGCCAACGTAAAGGATATCTACAAAACCGACCCCACGGCTCCCGCAGAATCTTCCAACATCAACTGCCCACGATGCAGTCGCCCACTGGTGAAGCCAAATACCGTGCTTTTTGGCAGCTCGCTCCCGACAGAGCCACTTGACAAGTGTCAGGGGCGAAAATGACGGTCAAGACTTCAGGAGTGTAATGTCAGCTGATGGCTTCTGATCAGAAACCCGAAACCCTAGAACCCTACACCCTAACACGCTAAACCCAACATCTGGAAGATGCAAGTGCTCTTTTCGATTTTGCGAAGCAACGATTGACCTGGGGTAGCGGAAAGCCTGCTCTTCATCCCTAGTATTCATTACCTAGCTGATGCGCCAACTGAAGACCCTGGCCCGAACCTTCATGAATTGAAGTTGGTGAGGTTCTTCGAGCAAACAGCCGAGCTGCAGCAGGCAGATCTCCTCATTGTGGCGGGCACGTCCCTCGTTGTGTCGCCGGCCAACGCCGTCGTGGGTATGGTTCCAGGAGAATGTCTCAGGCTCATCGTCAACAAAGAGCCAGTTGGCGAAGATTTGGGCATCCGATATGGCAAAGATGCAACTCGTGATGTCTGGGCAGGCGAGATCTCCTGTGATGAATCTTTCCTGGAGCTCATCAAACTTCTCGGGTGGCAAGACAAGGTCCGCAAAATCAAGCATCTACTCCCAGAAAGTAACCAAGTGCTGGTCAAAGACTTGTGATGCTCAATGGCTGAAACTCAGAGGGTCCAAAGCGGCCAGAACATTGGCTTTCATTCGACATGAGAGAAAGAACGATAGCTTTTGAAGAAATTGCGGATCGGGATGGTTGGTTGCATTGGTCGCGTTGATCGTCGTCAGCATCACGAAAGCTGGCGTAGCTAGGCTCGAGCTTAACTCTGCTTTTAGCAGGGGCCCGGTCCAGAGCATATGAACTCATATTGGCAAGGAAATAGTAATATCAAGTTTGTTGTTTTTTTTCGTCTTTTTGGGGGGGAGGGGGGGGGGGGGTTATCAATTTCTTCAAAAGAGGGAGGCGGGGCTGGGGCGGGCGGATTCCTTGAATCTGTCAATCTTTGGGCTTGTGGGGAGAGGAGGGGGCGTCACAAAATAAGAATACAATAATGAGCCTTTATAAAAATACCAAGAATGGAGTAATTGTATCCTGGGCTTACAATAAAAGCATATTGGCCCGGGGAAAACAATAATGACAATAATGGAGGACTTTTGAGAATTCATGAAAGTAGAAGTGATTTGATATCGTGTGTCAATCGTGCGTTCGTTTATTTTATTCGCACGCCACTGTGCCGTCGGTCCCCACCAGCCCCCAAACCCCAAACCCTAAACCCTAGACCCTAAGCCGGTACACAGCATGCCCCAGTGGCCGGACCGTCTCTTCACCGGACTGGAGCCCTCAAACAGTACCCTGAATACCTCAAACCCTACGAGCAGGTGGCAAGATATCCCAGGAGCTCCATAATGCCGCCCCCCGGCTGCCCGGCACCTCAGGTCGAGAAGAGTAAACCCTAAACCCTAAAGCAGGGCATGCTTTCTAGCACTCGACCTGGATCTTCAAACTCTCAAGCTTTTTTTGTCCTTCCGATTTGTCAGCTCATGGATTCCTGCTCTTTGCTTTGTGGCACGGAGAGCGAGAACGACAGCAGCGAGGAAGTACGAGAGCCACTGGAGCAGCAGCCAGTGAGCTCACTTTCACTACCCGAGCGTGTCCAGCAGGTGGTTTCTGCCAAGCAAGAGGGCACACCATCTGACGAGTACCAGCGGGCCATCAACTGCTTTGGAGTTGAGTTTCACAAAGCGCGAGGTTTGGCAGGTGAGCTTCCGGAGGTGCATCGCAGCAAGATCATTTTACTTAACATTTCAAAGTTGTACGTCGAGGCCGTGGATATCGTCACGGGGAAATTCGACGCGCAGATCAGCCTTCGCTTCGTCCGCAGGTTCGATGATGAAACCGGTCCACCTCCACCTGAAGCCCAAGAGGACATTGCTGCAGATAAGATTCCTGACTTGCTTGCAGAGATCTACGGTGTCACTCTGAATTGGGATTTGCACCAAGCATGCGTTGTAGAGTACTTATCTGCACGCCTTTATGGAGGCCCTGAAGGACAATGCGATGTCATGCTCCGCGGCACATTTCAGGACACTAACGACTTAGAGCTCTTCCCGTTCGACATTCAGGATTTCAACGTCATCTTTGAGGTGCGCCTTCTGGCGACAGCACAGGACTTTCACCTGATCTTGGTTGGGGATGTTCATGCAGACCAGACCATGCCAGACTACACTTTTTACCGGCCAGTTGCGATGATGCATGCCAGGAAGTGGCGATACCGCAAAGTCTTTGTCACAACATGTGCATTGCGGAATTATGGCCATTATATAATGAACTACTATTTACAACTTTGCGTTCTGACAAGTGCATTTCCCCTGGTGAGCGCGATAGACCCGCGTGAGGGGTTGGCAGACCGGCTGAGCTTCCTCGTGACACTCATCCTTGCCACTGCAGCACTTCAGATTACAATGAACGCGAACCTGCCATGCATCCCATATGCAACGATGCTGACACGATACACCACCTTGTCTTTCACCGTCATGTCCATGTCCATGTTCCTCTGCGTCTTGACTTCACACATGCCGTGGTGGTGGGATACAGCCACCTTCGGGGGCTTATTTGTCTTCTGGATAGGCTACAATTTGAACCACTTCCTCACTGCGCGACGCACGGTTTGGGAGGCCAGGCGATTATTGGGGAGCCCGGCTGAGACGCTTACGGTGGGGAGCAAAGAACTGGAGACTGGTGCAGCTATGATGGACGCCTTAGACCCCCTACTCCGAGACATACTGCAGCTGCGGCAGAAGCGAAGCAAGGGGTGACTGTTTCTTGAAGCCCAAGCACCGCTGACGCGTGAAGTTTTCACCCAGGCCTTGTTTGGGGAAGGTCGCTTTCACGCGAAATCATGCCTTGTCTTATCTCGGAGATAGAGCGAACGCAAATTGCACCCACACCCGCGGTTGATGAAAGGCGTGCGAGCTCTTGTAGCACGTGTCGGGTCTCAATACTTCAGACACATGAACGCAAGACGTACTGCTATGCATAGGATCTCGGGCTTTTCTCATATCCAGCTTGCCTTCTGTTTCCGT